TCCATAAATACTCCATGTGCATATGTTATTGTGTCTACATATTATCCTAACTCTTTTGCCCCCATTCTTCTTGATCAAAGCATCCTTCTGCCTCAATGCTTTATGATATTGTACTGCCCACTTGGAACTCTTTTGAGGAATTGAATATCATTCCAATAACAAATTTAAACCCTTCTTTTTTCAAGTTTCTCTCTTCAAATAGATTCACTGGCCCATTAACTGTTTCGTCTGAATCATCTGAATCACACAAGCTTCTTAACATCAACAACATCCTCATTTTGTATTCCTAAACCATCTATCTTATCCCCTGAGGTTTTGAACCAGTTGCACTGTCCCTAAGATTGTTTGTTTAAACCTCAACTCCTTCAACATCAACTTGGTTCCCATAATCAAACTCTCTAACTGAATCACTATCCCATCTTTCATCTTCACTTACTACACCATCATGCAATAGGGTATCATCATCTCCTAGTTCCCTAGAGATTTCTACTTCATAGTCCCATACTACCATGCATTGATTATCATGCAAATATTCTACATATATCTCAATCTCCTTGTTTTCTGGAATGTTAGTTACCAGCCGTAGGATATCAGAATCACTACATAGTTTTCTCAATGTAAGATTTCTTTTGGTCCCAAGTCCCAACCATATACCAACATAACACTTTTTTGTCACAAAACCTATGTTGTTTGACCATCTTCCTCAAATCTAGAATACTACCTTCATCACTGTTAAAATGGTCAAAATACTCTACTGCCCCATTTTTATAACGCAACCTAGGTTTGAAGACCAAATCACTACCAATATGCAGTTTTATGTAAAAATAGAAGCTTCCTGACCAACGTCTAGAAAAAATAAAGATATAATTAATATACAACAAAAGTTTTTATTTTTTTTAAACATACACAGACATTAAAGTAAAAAATTAAAGAACAAGCAGTCATGGTCCCCACCCCAAAATATGTATATACACACTATAGAACAAGCAGACCAAAACTGGTCCCCCCAAACAACAATCATAAATAAACATTAAAGTACTACTGCACTGGTGGGGATTACAGCAGAAAGCAATAACAACTACTAAACTGACAAAAAGCTAAACAATCAAAAAATCCCAAACTATTTGCAAAGACAAAAATCCTAGCTGTCAATGTATGAAATAGATAAAAAGATAAACCATCTAAAAAGGCTAAACAACGAAAAAAAAACCCTAACTTTGAATACTTACAATTTGGCGTCACAGCAGACCCATTAATCCTCCTACTAGTCATGGTGTTGCTGCTTAGATTCTTCAATTTCTTCGAATTTGGTCGTTGCTCCAAAATTAGGGCTAGTTAGTCAATGAATATGAAGTCAATAGCAAGGCTTCTAGTTCAACAAAGGTAATAAGAGGGATGTGAACGGAAATATACGATTAAAATGCCCATACAAAAATGGGGTCATCACCGGCTTCTCGATGGAACAGTGCCTGAAGATCTTATTTGAGAAACATTAAATTAATTAGATGACCAAATTAGTTGAAATTGGAAACTAGGGACTACATTGACAATTAAGCAACAATTGAGGGACCAAATTGTTCATTATCTCTAATAATAATAATAATAATAATAATAATAATAATAATAATAATAATAATAATAATAATATTATTATTATTATTATTATTATTATTATTATTATTATTATTATTATTATTATTATTATTATTATTATTATTATTATTATATATATATATATATATTTTGTATAAGGGTATTTATGTCTTTTAAACATATATTCAATTTCTATTCCTTAAACCAACCAAATATTGAAATAATATTCCTAAAGTCTATTCCTTCAGTGAACCAAACAATGAAATACAAATCCTATTCTACTTCATTCTCCAAAGAATAACATTTTTAATTTATTTCCTTAAAATTCATTCCGTGAATCAAGCATGTTATAAATGTATTACGGTTACGTTCCATTATATGTGTGATTATATAGGTCAGCAAAGTCGGTGAGTCATATATCTATAATAATGTTACTATCATTTGTGTTCATTTCGTATTTTGTAAAGTGAGTTTAAGATGATAAGACACCATATCTTGTAAACCAAGCTAAGTGATGCACAGCGGTATTACCGTCCCACCATCTACCAATGGATAAGACTTGTAATATATACTATACGTGATAATGCCAAGTGAAACTGTACCATAATTGAATTTAATTTACATGCATTACGTGTTGAACTTGCATACTTAATTACTTTCTTTTCAACCACAATGAGTCAATGACCACGAACTATAATTTTCTATTTTTATTTTGCAGTTAACATCGGATCACGTACTGTTATTTTACATCATCTCTATATTATTCTTCAGCTGATTTATAGAATATATGCTCCAAAATGATTAGATATTTGAGAAATTGCATCTTTAGTCCCTGAGTTATAATCAAGTTCTGACTCAGTCTCTAAGTTATGACCGTATTCGAGTTTAGTCCCTCAGTTATGAGCAAAGTGGCGAGTTTGGTCCCTAGCGTTAATATTTTGTCTGCAACTAACGGAAAACTTAAAAACTATTTAATAATAGAGGGGTAAAATAGGAATTTCAATTATAATCCCCTTATTATATATGTTGAAACCCATTGAGCAACAATCATTCTTTTCTTCTTATACCTACAATCGAAGGTCTTTTTCTTTCCCGAGCTCTGAAATCTCAAATTCGTCTACTTCCAAGCTACGAAATTCATAGGTAAATTGTTTCTATATTCTATATGTTTAAATAAATAATCAATATTCTCCGTATTAATGAGCAAGAAAAAAAGTAATTTGGAGGAGGTGCTTGCTAACTTCATGAAGAATATTGATTACTTTTTTCTTGATAATCAATATCCTCCAAGTTACTTTTTTCTTGATATAAAATATAGAATATTGATTATTTATTTAAACATATAAAAGAGAGAAACAACTTACTTATATTATGAATTCACAACTTGGAAGTGGATGAATTTGCGATTTCAAAGCTTGGGAAAGAAAAAGACCTTCGATTGTAGGTATTAGAAGAAAATAATGACTGTTGCGCAATGAGTTTCAACATAAGAAGGGGATTATAATTTGAAATTCATATTTTACCCCTCTATTTTTAAATTGTTTTTAAGCTTTCCGTTAGCTGCAGAAAGAATATTAACGGTAGGGATCAAAATCGCCACTTTGCTCATAACTGAGAGACTAAACTCGGATATTGCCACAACTTAGGGACTGAGTCGGAACTTGGTTATATGAAGAGAAGAGAGGTAAAAAATGTGAAGTTATCATCAGATCTAGATCTATTTGCATTGATAGCCTATGAAATTTTATTTTAATTTACTTTTCGCTACAAGTTTTGGGATAAAGTGTAGCGGAAAGTTATACTAACTTTTAAAAAAAAAAAAAAAAAATAGTTTTACTTTCCTCAACACCTTCCAGAAGAAGGAGTCCAGAAGGTGTCGCGGAAAGTAATCCTTTTAAAAAAGAAAACGCTACACTTTTTAAACAAAAGTGTAGCGTTTTTTTATGTATTTATTTACGTTTTTGTTATCATACTATTATTTTTTAAACATTATACTACACTTGTAGTGGAAAGTCACACTTATATGTTCATTTTTGTAATAGTGATTATAAAATACGAAATGCACACAAATGATAGTAACATTATAGATGACTAACAGCTAATAGGCATTACTGCATTAGTGACGTATATAATGGTATTAGTTACCACACGTGTATTGTGCGAATAGTTCAATGCCCAATGTGTATTTTTAAATTAGTGTTTTAGAATTTATCAAAGTATCATTCGATATCATGGTGCATATCAATGCAAGATTATCAAATTTTTTTATAAAAGTAAAAAATTTAATAATGCATAACTAATACCTGTGGCAAAAATACCGGATCGGATTAACTGGTGCAATAGCAGTTTTAGAGGAAAGCACCATCACTGGATAATACCTAAGCATAGCTTTTAATTTGCAACACCAAACCCTATTAATTGATGTGATTCGTCATGCTTCGTCTTGTTGTCACTTCTGCCAAAAATGAATTCTTGAATTGATCTAGTCCCCTGTGTGTTTTACTGCCATTTTAGTGCCTTGTCGCAGTGTACCTTGAATAACAGAAGTTACAGAACCAAGTATCCACCTTCCCCAAAAAGACAATGATAATAGGCATGATTTTTTATTTGTGTTGAATATATACTATAAATTATTTGAAGACCTTGTGGTCGAGCAGCATAGTTGTAGTCCCTCAAACGAAAGGTCTCAAGTTTGAACCCAAGTATGTTAAATTTTAATTTTATTTTGTATTTCTTTAATACACTCTAACATATTCATAGTATATGTTTATTTTAATTTTATTTTGTATTTCTTTAATACACTCTAACATATTCATAGTATATATTTAATAATTATGTCAATTTTGATTGGGATGTGGTTCGAACCTATGACATTCTTTATAAAAATCAATGAGTAAGTTAACAATACTAAATAATTAACTGAATATTTTGTTAGTAAAGTTGACATTGACGGAATGCATGGTATTTAGGAAAAGTAAATGTTATAATATAGGGTAAAATAGAAAAAAAAATATTAAAATCAAAATAATATGAACCATTCATTTCAACCAACAATTACACTAACATTTTGTTTGTAGTTCTCATGCTTAACTTTATTAGCTCTTATTAAGTTTGTAGTTAATGTAGTCAAAACTGGAGTCCAAGTCTGTACGGCCAAATATTATTTTTAATTAAAAATGTAACCATCCACTCGTCCACTTGTGTATACATTAGTATAATACATGCAACGTAACAGTGATAAGAGTGGAGCTATATGGCATTATGCAGCAAAAGTCACGAACAGGATTTGATGTGATTCAATAATAATGTATAATAAAGTAATAAACCTTTCGGGTTTAGCCCATGGGCTGTGGGAACTTGTATAAATATATTACCCTAAGCAGGTGAACATCATTTCATGTCTATCTCTGATCTATCTGCACCCTGTATCTATATTATCTCTCCATCATGGATGTAAAAACATTTGTGCTCTTTGCTTTAATATTCTCATTAATAATGGTAGAAGCGACTAAAGTTCAGATTCAAGCCACAGGTGTGTCCGATGATGGAGAAGGGCTGAGCTTGGCTGACCACCAACCACTTCTAACCCTCCACGGACCTCATCATATAGGTACTCAATTCTCATATCTTTTCGTCGCTCCTTAGATCGAGTTCACAAAACTTTTCGTTTTTGGGTCACAAGGGAAACTCATACTCACTCACTGTATGATATGTGTACTGAGAAAATCTCGTCTTGTAATTTTAATCGATCAAAAACTACAAAAAGATAAACCAGTCGAAATTACTAATAGCAGATCGGCTCAAGAAAGTCAATTGGCCATTTCTAGCTACTAGAAGTTAAACTTGTAACCTTGTGGTTATACTAATTTAGAAGCCAAATGCTTTTCTTGAGTGTTGATCTGATCGAGGCCGGCGTGGGTGTTTTTGTGGTTTCAGCTGGAAAAGACGACGGCAAGCTGATAGGCACTGATGAGGTCCCGGCCGTCGTCCCTGATTCCGGCGATCTGGTGATTCCGGTGGTGGCTGAAAGCCCTTTGGCGGCGGCGGATATAGAGAATAAGCAGGTGCAGCTTGGTCGTCGCATCCTAGTTGCGGCGGTGGAGTCCAATTCCAGCGCTGCCCCCGGCTATTAGCTAGCTAGCTGCAATACTACTGTTACGTTGTTTAATGCAAAAGTGGTGGCTTAGCTTTATACATTACGAAATTCTGAAATTTCCGACCACCTGAAAATGATCTTAAATTAAGTTGATATCAAAAAGTCCAAAAAGTGATCCGAAATAACAACAAAAGTTTTTTCGAATACCAAAAGTGATCAGAACAAGACTTTCAACTTGATTTATGATCACTTTCAAGTGGTCGAAAATTTCAGAATTTCCAGTTGTGATATGTCATATTCATTTGAAAGTATGTATGTACTAGATTATAATAATATATAAATATGAATCATGCATTAGATTATCGAGTGTCATATTCTCATCATAGATTTTATGATGTTTTAAATTACGTTAAACAAAATCAGCAGACAGCGGACTACTACTCCATATTATATGCTTGAATCAACCGATGGTAAAGCAAGTCAAATGTTACGGCCTCATCGTTGACTCAATTTGTCTCACGTCTGAAATGAAAACCATCTGATCTGTGTATAAAATGTTAAAGTGAAAATTGTAAAAAATGTCCCTCTATAATATGTCAATTATCAATGTCATTTCTGAATTATGAGTAGTGTAAATGTTGCCCCTCAATTATCAAAACGGTGCACATATAGCCCCTCTCGTAACGGACACGTGATTCCCCGTTAGTGTACGACACCGTTAAGTCGGAGTAAATATGCAATTTAGTTGTTTTTTCCCTCCCTCGATTCGAAGTACCAGGGATTGACAGCGGTGGGGAACCATAAGTCCGTTACGAGAGGGGCTATTTGTACACCATTTTGATAATTGATGGGCAACATTTACACCACTCATAATTCAGGGGTGACATTGATAATTGGCATATTATAGAGGAACATTTTTTATTAAATTTAGATAAATGTTCTCACCCATATATACAAAAATCATCACACAATTATTAATATAATAGTCAGTCTTTGATGTAGTTATTTTTATGTGGTTAGCTGTTTCTTTTTTATAAAATAAAAAAATAAAAAAATTATATTCCATTCATAAAAAATGTCAATGTGTGTCACTGATAAATAAATTTATCCTTTCAAAAAAAATTAAATTTATATTAATTTAATTTATTGGATCAAAGTTGCCGTCTAATACATTAACTTCCTTTTACAATGAGGTGGTTAACTTCAGTATTTATTTATATGAGTAATATTATATCTACTCTCATTTTTTACTCTCGTTGAGATTTGGGATGTCTATCTTTGATTTAAACAACAAAGTAGACCACTGTTTTTATTCATTCATTTTTCTTTATCTAATAAAATTTGTACATGTAACAGGAGTTATACTATGTGGGAATAAATATATCATTTTCCTATTCATATATATTTAAGGGATCAAATAGTTGAACTAAACCTTATTGTATATGATATGACCTTAGTTTATTTGGGCATGTGGATACAAGTAAATTAAAGCTTCAATATAATGGGAGTGGCAATGAAAAAAGCTGTGTTGTTCCACTTGCAGTAGATAGTCTTGTTAATGTTTTATTTCTTAGAACATCATGGTAAATTCGAGTGCGTTTATATTCTTTTACATAATTACATTAAAAAAAAATGAAGAAAAAGAAAAAAACTATATATGATATGAGTTCAACTTTTATTTTTTGAAATACTTATAATTCTTTACAAGGTAGTATCTGTTCTATACTTTCTCAAATATTTTCAATCCAAAAAATCTAAGCCACACCATCGGGATTCAAACCTATGACCATCCATTTGGAATGGTAACCGGGATGCTATCACACTACATAGTATTTGGCAAGATGAATTCAACTTAATTAAGAGTAGATTTGTTATATTTTATATATAACATTATTGTGTTTTGAGTAACGAGAAAAACCCACAAACACTATCGACGTGTTTTGAGTAACGAGGCAAACCCACAACCACGACTCACATAGGAGAACAAGCTAAACTCTCACATAAAAAGTGAGACTCGTCTAATTCATCCATATGGATAGATAAACAGTTGATGGCAAATGAAAAATAAGGAAAGATAAATTTTATAAATATTGTATAATAAAATTAACCTCGTGCTTTTTTTTTTTTACTAAAACTCTTAACCATTGATTAATCTTGATGGGCTACTAAAATCAGTACGTACCTACCTTTATAATAAGGTTGTTATCATTTGAACCCACCACTATATATATATATATATATATATATATATATATATATATATATATATATATATATATATATAGTCGCGTCCAGGTGCGAACAGCGCACCCAGGAGCGAACTACGAACCAATCAGTGCGCGCCACGTGTCTAGATCTAAGTGCACATATAGTTATTACTAGGTGCACCTATAGTTATAAGTAGGTGCACCCGATGAATGAATATTAACAAGGCAAAATTACATGCACTTGTAAGTGATTTTTTTACCCAGCACTTTGGTGCACCAACTACATGCACTTGTAGGTGAAAGTAGGTGTACCCGATGAATGAATGTTAACAAAACAAAATTACATGCACATATAGAGAAAAATAAATGCACTTGTAAGTGATTTTACCTGTACTTTTTACTTCATATTTTCCTCTGTTCCTGTACTTGAAGACTATAAGGATCATTTGGTGTTATATTTCAGGTATGATTATGTTATCCTTATGTTGACCATTGTATGCATGTGGACTGTCTTTCTTAACACCCTTTCCCCCTCTCTTCTAAGAGCATCTCCAACCCTTCCATCTCTAAAACATCAAATTTTTTCAGAAAATATCACATCAGAAGGAATATTCTCAGCTCACACCAAATTTTATTCATCTCCAACCCATTTACACCAAAACACCAAACTTTTACACTAAAATAATTTTATTTTTCAATTATTAGTTCGCATTTAGTTAGTTTAATATAATTTAGTTCGAACTTAATTAGTTTAATATAAAATATAATTTGTAATGTAAATAATAATTTTTATTAACATTAATTTTTTTATAACATTAATTATTTTAAAAATCGAATTTAACAATATTTTTGAAAATTTAATTTATTCCACAATAATAATACAACATACAACATCTGATCTAGTACATTTAATTGTCGGAATTACTAAATCGTTCTCACAAATGCTCAATCAATGCATTACGGAGTGCATAAATGAGCTTCTTTATCTTTAATTTGTCTATGCCGAGCAAGAAATTCTTGAAATATAATATTCTCATCTCTAGCTATATCAACTTCAGGAGTCGGTGCTTCCTTCCAACCTTGTATATCTGCTTGCTCATCACGTTCGTCCTCAATGATCATATTGTGCATTATAATGCAAGATGACATTATATCATGCAATACACATTTATCCCAAAAACGTGTCGGTCCCTTTGACTATTGAAAATCGTAATTGGAGAACTCCAAATGCACGTTCTACGTCTTTTCTACACGCTTCCTGCATCATCGCAAATAACTTATTTTTGGGCCCTCGAGGTTCATGAATTGTTTGTACCAATGTGGACCATTTTGAATATATACCATCTGTTAAATAATATCCAGTGTGGTACTGTTGTCCGTGAATAACATAATGACAAGGAGGTGCTATACCGTTTGCAAGATTGGAAAACAAATAAGATCCCTCCAACACATTAATGTCGTTATTCGACCCCGGCATACCAAAATGTGCATGCCAAATCCACAAATCATAATCGGCTACAGCTTCAAGAATAATAGTTGGTTCTCCACTCCTCCCAGCATATTGTCCAGCCCAAGCAGTTGGGCAATTTTTCCATGTCCAGTGCATGCAATCTAAACTCCCAAGCATCCCTGGAAAACCTCGTTTTTCGTCAATTTGAAGCAACTGTGCAACATCATTAGCATTAGGTGCTCTTAGATATCGCTCCCCAAAGACCTCTACAATTGCTCGACAGAATCTCTTCAAACTTTCAATTGTAGTTGATTCTCCAATCTGGATATATTCATCTGCTGCATTTGCTAGTATTCCATACGCCAAAACTCGAAACGCCGCTGTAACTTTTTGTAAAGTAGATAAGCCCAGTCTACCGATTCTATCCTTCCGTTGCACAAAATAGTTGTCATGGCCTTTAACAGCATTGGCAAGTCATAGGAACAAATTTCGACTCATTCGAAATCGTCTACGAAACATTGCTTCAGAATATTTTGGATATTCAGAAAAATAATCATTCCATAATCTTCGATCTGCTTCTTCACGATCACGATCAATCACTCTATGACCAAAAGTCGAACCTCCATGCCTAGGGGGTTGATTATCCATATTTTCCATGTAGGAAGCTATGGCAAGGGTGTGGCTAGTATATGCATGGGTTAATAACTGTGTTTGTGCTCGTATTGCACTTGCGAGATTGTGCTTAGAATCTGGTGATGATGATGATGAGGATGAAGAAGATGAGGATGATGATGAAGAAAATGGCATAGGACGTTTTCCAATGTTGGAATTCATATGAATTCGTATGTTTAGAGATAGATGATAATGGGTTGAATGCTCAATTTGTTGGTGATGAAGAACGTTTTTATAGGCATGATCAGAATTGTTTAGAACCGTTAGATTAGATCGTGAAGATCACATCCGTTCATTGGTATGCTTGTCCTTTTCCACACATACTCCAATAAAAGATATCACATGCATCTTTGAATCAGTTTTTATCTGAATTGTTTAGAACCGTTAGATTAGATCGTGAAGATCACATCCGTTCATTGGTATGCTTGTCCTTTTCCACACATACTCCAATAAAAGATATCACATGCATCTTTGAATCAGTTTTTATCTGAATTGTTTAGAACCGTTAGATTAGATCGTGAAGATCACATCCGTTCATTGGTATGCTTGTATCTCTATAAATACTACAATTCAATTTTAGAAGTAATACCACCTATCTTTTGAATATCAATATCTCTTTCTAGTTTAACAGTCATTGAAATATGTCAAATCCCTCACGTTCAATCCGAACTTCCTCATGCTCTAATGAAGAAGATAAACTCATTTGTACTATATTTATGGATATTGCCCAAGATCCTGAAAAAGGGCAATGATCGCTCTGCACCAGATTTTTGGGAACACATTGCACAAGAATATAAACAAATGCTACCGGCACACATTTGTACCGATCGAACTTCAAGATCGATGCATAGTCGTTGGGTAAATATATCAACATCGGTTAGCAAACCAAGAGGGTGCATTCAACAAATATAGAACATGAACCCAAGTGGTGCATCTGAACAAGATATTGTGAGTATCTTGTAAATTTGTGTTATATAGTTCTCTTATTTTTTGTTTTAATTGCGTTGTTTAATTAGAATTATATTTGATTTATAACAGCTTGATAGAGCAAAGGAGTTAGTAAAGCAAGATCCCAAATTCAAATGCGGATTTAAGTTTGATCATGTATGGCCGATTGTCAAAGGCATGCAGAAATTTTGCAGAACTGGGAGCTTGCTAAATGTTGGAGGTCGAAAAAGAACTTCCGAAGGATCACAATCACAATCTTTTGTAACCGAGAAGTCAATAGGCTCTTCCTCATTTGCTGTTGATTTGAATGATGATTTTGAAATTGATGAACATTGTAATGAAATGAACAATGTAGGTGAACGTCCTACGGGAAGGAAGAAGGAAAAGATGAAGCATAAACTCTCGGATGAGCGCAATCAATTTATTGCCGCAATAGAACAACAAACTGCACAATTCAAAGGAATGTTCGAAAACAATCATGAGCTACTCCATAAACAATATGAGCTCGATTTGCTTACAGCTCAAAATGTAGCGAACAAAATAACATTAGGAAAAGAAAAAATGGCATTAGCAAAACGAAAAGAAGATAACAAAATCTTAATGATGAATTTAAATTTGATAGAAGATCTAGCTGTGCGTGAGTCGATTAGACGCCAACAACTACAAATTGTTGCAGAGAGAAATCAAGAGCATGGAGGATGAGTTGAATCAAATCGTGAATTTGATCAATTCTTTGATAATTTGGGAGGAAGGGGGAGTGGACTAGGAAATTATTAATTTTATTATATTTGTTCAAAATTGTGTTGTATTTTCTAATATTATTATTATGTCGTATGTATTTTAATTTTTATTATGTTCTAGTCATGTTTGATGTATGTCGTATGTATTTTAACTTTTATTATGTTCAAGTTATGTTTAATGTATTTGGAATTTTAATTAATATATATTCAATATTAGTCTTGTTTCGATCGTCTCAATGAGATCTTTAAAATGATATAATTTTTATTTAATAATACAAAGTTTAAATATAAGTATTTAACAAAATAAAAAATTACATGTAAAACAATTAAAGGATATACTTGGAATTAAAAATAAAAAAAATAAAAAAAATAAAAAAAAATAAAAAAAAAGGGCAAAAGGGACATTTTGGGATTATAGCGCGGGTGAACAGTGCAGCGCCAAATATAGCGCTGCACTGTTCATTAACGCCATTCCCTTTGGCGTTTTGACGTTTTGGCGACACACCTTGGAGAGAGAAATTTGAGGGAATGGTGTTTTGGGGATGAAAATTGGCCTCCCGTTGGAGATGCTCTAAGAGCAATCTTCTGTGTCCCTTTCCCTGCCTCTCTTCTAAGAGCAATCTTCTGTGTATTCATATGCTGCTCTCTTGTACTAATCAGGCAAAATGCTTAGAAACTGGTGAAATTGTTGCTATAAAGAAAGTTCTTCAAGACAAAAGATACTAGAACCGGCCGGGAATTACAGACCTACAAACCATTTTTTGTTGGTATACCAGGATTTTCACCGTTGGACACAGTGACTAATTCCTTCGTTGAATTGGATTGTAGGCACCTCTTTTGGGTAGGATAGGTGGCCTGAAGACTGTGACTCATCCCTTTGCTAGATTATAGGCACCTCTTTTGGTAAGACAATTGGCCTGAAGACTCCTTCATTCTCAAAGCCAAAGATCGAACCCTTGACCTTTGGTTAAGGATGGATGAGTTCCTACCGTTTAGGGGTGGAAATAGGCCAGGCCGAGCCGGGCTTTAGAAAATTAGACCTAGGCCTGTTAAGAAAATCTAAAGCCTAGGCCTGGGCCTGGGCCTGTATGTAGGCTTTTTTTAAAGCTCAAGCCTGAGCCTGCATTTGGCCTGGCCTGGCCTGAAGCCTTTTTAAAAGCCTATTTAATAAACAGGCTTTTAAAAAGGCTTCAAAGTAGGTTCTAAATAGGCTTTGAATCTATGTAAGGCTTACATTTTAAAGCCTTTTAATATATACCTGTTAAAAATAATCATATTATTAAATTTCAATCAACCCGGTTAGGTAATTATATATACTTGGGGTTATATTGTAAATATAAAAATATAATAAGTATAAAATAGAATATATATATATATATATATATATATATATATATATATATATATATATATATATATATATATATATATATATATATATATATATATATATAGGCCAGGCTTGTAGGCCTGAAGGCCGAGCCTGATATATATAGGCTTGGCCTGTTTAGTTTAATAGGCTTTGAAATTGGCCTAACCCTGGCCTTTTTACTAAACAAGCTAGTCCTTACTAAGCCTTAAATAGGCCAAGACATAAACCCCTACAAAAGGCCTGGCCTATTCCTACCCCTACTTCCGTTCAACCACACTCCCAAGTTGAATTATAGACCATGCGTCTTCTTTTCTACAACTGATAAGGATGAACTGTATATTAATCTGGTTCTTGAATATGTCCCTTTCTAATATGAAAGTGTAGCAGATTCTCTTTATTTTTTATTTAAATAAATGAATCCGCTACACTTTCTAAGATTCTATGCTTTTCGTGTCCTTCACATCCAACATAATTACAAGTGTAGCTGATGTGCAATTCTTTACTAGTGAATGTGAATTTAGGATGATAAGACACCAAATATGTACATGCATATGCTAAGATCAGCCAGTCTTAGGCGCACTCACTTTATGAGGTACTTGTTAAGAAGAGTTAATTGGGGCGTATGTGTTTGTTGCATGTTTTATATAAATAATAATAGATAATTCAATTTTTTGTCTTAAATTTATAGTTGATAGTCAATTTTTAGTTCCTTTTTATTAGAACATCTTCATTTGGTCCAAGTATTATTGTGATATGATCATTTTTGGTCCTTTATCAACAAAACAATTTTTATGTCGTTAAATTAAATACAAAGACATTTCAATATTCAATTACAAATTTTTTAAATAAACACAAAAATATAGAGGGGTCTACTCACTTTGTATAAAAATGATCGGAATACCTTTGTATTTAATGACATTTCAACGATTTTGTTAATGGGAGACCAAAAATGATCATGCTACAATAATATACTAGCACCAAATGTGAATGTTCTGATAAAAAAATAACTAAAAATTAACTGTCACTTATAAATCTATGACCAAATTAAAAATGAAATTAATAACTCTATAAATAATTTAGGATTGTAATGATCATACTTATTCCTTTATAGACTACCTAATACAATATTTTGTTTTGTGTATTTCTTTGGATAGTTATGCTGTGCATCCGTATGCACCATGCATGGTGCATAGGATGCAAAAACGACGTCGTTTTATTAAAAACGCGTGTCTCCCCTTAAAAAAAAAAAAAAAAAAAAAATCAGGTTCGATTCCCAGCAACAACATTATGTTGTTCATTCATTTTGGAATTTTAGTTCATAGATTATGGAATTTTAGTTCATTGATTCTGGAATTGTAGTTCATTGATTCTGAAATTTTAGTTCATAGATTCTGGAGTTTTAGTTCATTCATTCTGGAATTTTTAGTTCATAGATTAGATTATGGAATTATAGTTCATCGATTATGGAATTATAGTTCATCGTTTATGGAATTATAGTTCATCGATTCTGGAATTATAGTTCATCGATTCTGGAATTTTAATTCATATGTTGTTGCTGAGAATCGAACCTGAATTTTTTTTTTTTAAGGGGAGACGCGCGTTTTTAATAAAACGACGTCATTTTTGCATCCGTATGCACCATGCATGGTGCATACGGATGCACGGCATAATTTGCCTATTTCTTTCCCTTCTTTATTATTTTTTTTTTCTAAAAAATATGTAGTATTAATCCAATAAATATTGATAATAAGAAACAAAACATCTGCATTAAGGCCCAGGCAATGAGGCATGGGCAAATTATGCCGTGAATCGTACGTGTCCACCTTGCAAGGTGGACACGTTCTAAAACTATTTATAATTATGGATATATATAGTTCAAAATTATGAATTTATAGTTTTATAATTATGAACATAGAGTTGTGAACATAATTATGAACATATAGTTTTGTAACTATAAATATAGAGATCCAACAATTGTGAATATGAAGTTAAAAAATTATGAATATATAGCTTTATAATTATGAACATATAGTTTAGTAATTATGAACATAGAATTTTGTAATTGTGAATATAGAGTTCAATAGTTATGAATATGAAGTTCAAAAATTATGAATATATAGCTTTATAATTATGAACATATATGATGGATTCAATTAACACGGGGTAGCCCGAATTACTAAATCCGATAAATAATGTAAATAGGAAATGGATAAAACGATGTCCTAAGGTTACAGGGACCGTATATTGTATTATATAACTATAAACGAGCTATTACAAGGTGAATGTAACACTATTACAGCTGTAGATTAGAACAAAATAGATAGAATTTGTAGGAAAATGTGTAGTATCCTCATGGGACAAAATATGGGACATTTATATAAAATAACCCCCAACCGCCGCACCTAAACCGGGGGCGGTTGCATCTCTGCCTTAATCGCGTCTCGTGTCGGAACCGGGTCCAGGGGTCAGCCATGCCAAGCTCAACATGATAACATGGCCGAGCTCACATAGTCGAGCTCACCATGGCCGAGCTCATATGGCCGAGTTCACATGGCCAAGCCCACCATGGTCGAGCTCACATTGCCGAGTCCACCATGGTCGAGGCGCTTTGGGCCGAGCACAGGGCTCAACCTCGAGGCTCTGGGTCCACTCCATACTTCCTTAATTGCTCTGCTTTTCCGAGTCGATTTGCTTCGATCATAATATATTCATCAATATAGTTAAGTAATTATGAACATAGAATCGTGTCTATCTTGTAAGGTGACACGGAGCATATAACGATTGATGATGCATGCAAACCAAATAAAAAGCATTATTACTCATGGATATGTAAGACCGGGACTAAAAGCAACCTCAAGAGTATCAAGTCTTTTATCAAGTTTTTTGTTGGCACATAGGAAGGAAAGGAGGAGAGGAAAAGAAAATGAACAAAAAAAAAAAAAAAAAAAAAAAAAAAAAAAGGTATTAACGCGCTGTGCACCAAGCTATATAAGTATTTCGTAACTTTTTTTGTGGGCCCCACAAACAACTTATATTACTACCAAAAAAAATCTCTCTTTTATTTCTTCTCTCTCGTCCAACCCAGTCTCTCTCTCTTTCAACTGTGAAAAAAAAAAAAAAAGAAAAAAAAAACTTTAGTTAGAATTGCTCTAAGTTATATTTTTTTTTTGGTATTGCTCTAAGTTATATTGTACCGTACATATTGTTATCGATTTTTTCTTTTTTTAATGCATCCTTCTCTCATCTCATTTTGAAAACAAAACAAACGATTCATTAATAAGCATCACCAAAATATCCATTTACAACTACTCAAATTCAAATATAAACCCAAAAACAAAGGCCGGGTTGATACATACGTACTGTTTTGTTGTGTACGTCCCGAAATGTTTTTTGGTTTAGCAACGTTGCACATGCATTTGGTCAGAAAATATATGTATATACTGGCTGTACGGGTTTAGCTCACTGGTTCAGTAGATAGTATTTAGAAAAAAAGTTCAAGGTTTGAACTTCGATAACAACAGTGTGAAGATTATGTTCAAAATGGACAAATTCTTTGTGTGCATCAATATTTAATCATGTCTGCTGAATCATTAAATCACCGTAATTTATAATCTTCTCAAATGTTTGATTGGATCGAAATGTAAGAGCCTTGGAGTTTGGGATTGCAGAGTCTCTAGTTAGACATGGACATGACTGAGGTGGTGGGACTATATGCTAGCTGCAAGTGGAAAGCCAGCTTTAATAATTTTCTTCACTTGCATATATCTGATATCTCCATCGCCTTCTGAGACAGTACAGTCTCACATATTTTTTGTTCGTGAGACAACGGATCAAATGTAAATAGAAATGTAATACTTATAATAAAAAATATAATATTAATTAAAAATTAAATAAATTGATTCTTACTTATGAGAAAAAATGTAATATTATTTTTTTGTAAAAAATGTAATATTTTTAAATTAAAATATAACATTTAGAAGTTGAAGAATTACCTATGATAAAATAAAGAAGTAATATATATTAATGAGTGATAAGTTAATTGATTATTAATTAGTTATGGCAGAAAACATAAATTATAATATTAATAATTGATAAATTGATTATTACTTATATTGAAGATGCCGCATCTATCATTTGTAAACAAGTTCATTGTACATTTTCTCCAAAATGTCAAACTGAAAAGGGTGCGTTTTAGTAAGAGGTTTGTATGGGCGGAGCCAGCATGGTGGCAGTGGGGGCACTGCCCCCCTCACCCTATCCCTATATTATCTTTGTATGTATATATGTATGTATAGAACAGATTTAAGTATTAGTATAATGAAACACAACAATGTCAACATGTGTTGGTTCAGTTCAGTTGGCTGGGCGAGTGTTTGCCTTTCGGTTGTTTGAATCCTGCGGTGCTTAAATAAATTTTATGACTTTTTATTATTAATTGTTAGGCTATTACTTCAACACAATTTCATATATATATAATGAGATGTGTAATTTATAATTTATTTTCTATTCTAATTAATTTATCAAATTAATTTATGTTTCATATTTTATTATAAATATTTTTATAAAGTTTTGATATGTTTTATTTTTTACTTATATCCAAAAATATTTATAATTATACTTCTAAGTGTTTCATTTTTTTTTTTAAACTATCTTTTTTGTTGTAATGTTCTGCCCCCACTGACAAAAAATCCTGGCTCCGCCACTGTGTATTTCTGTGTTTTGACATTGAAACACTATTTATATCACTATATCAGCTGTTTACCTAAAGTTTATTTTGAGTTTTAACCTAGTGAAATAGGGAAAGGTGGCCTAATAAAACTAGCTCAATTAATTTGACCAATCATCATAATATCTTGTTCTAGTGAAAAAGTGGGGGGAAACTATATGGGTTGACGGGGCTACTCACTATTAATAACCCTCTATTTTTTTTTTTTGGCAAACAATTAACAACCCTCTATTGTGAAGTCTATTATACTATCTATATTAGGTTGTCCTCATCTCAAAAATGTTTTCACTTGCAAGATGATATGGACATTGACGTGGCATTTTAAATTTGTTTTTGTTTTAATTTTACAAGTCATGTGGCTTGCAAACTTTCTTAATTAGGTTGACCTTAACTCTGCAAAGAAACCATGGGCAAGATGATATGGAATAATATAACATTTATATTTTTTTATATTCTTTAGTTGGATTGCAAAAAATTTGCAATCCGTACAAAGTTGCGGCAGCTTTTGTACTTTTAAAAAAAAATATATTTTGTTTCTTTAATTATTTTATTTTCTTTTTTTTATTTATTAATATTTTAAAGTGATCTGATATTGGGGTTCATTTTTAAAAATAGATTGGATTTGTAGGGATGTAGTGTGAATAGTAATGATTTGCAAATTGGATGATGTGAAAGCGAGACTATTTTTTAAAGTAAGAGAGATTTATAGGGATAAAGATATCATTTAGAAAGCTTGCAAATCTGCAAAAGGAGGCCACATGGCAACCTTTTGTGTATTTTTATATTATTAGTTATTTTATTATTATTTTGAAAACTATTATTATTGATTGAATAATTACGGAGCGGACCTGGAGCGAAGAAATATGGAGCGGATCACACATGGCACCGAGCGGACTACGCACGCGACCGGACAGGTCATGGAGGGGTCTACCACCCCGGGGTCCTCGACTACTACCACGGGGTCCTCGACTACTACCTTCCCGGCGTCCTCGACTACTATCACGGGTCCCCCGTAACTATGCACACGGAGTGACGAACCACCCCGGGGTCGGCCGGCACACCTAGGGTCGGCCTGGCTTGACGGCGAGCCGACCTCCACAGGCCCCATGGCCGGCACCTTGGCCGAGCTCCGTGCTCGGCCAAGGACCGGGTCCTCGCGTGGAGCGAGTCCCGCGGCGCGGGCCGCGGCTCCTCCCGCGTGACCCGGGCCCGGTCCGGCCGGGGGTATAAAAACACCCCCCGGTGTCCTATTCAATCATCTTCTACCTTTCATACAATACTTGTAACGTTGTTACACGTCCCGAACCTCTGTAATTGCATTATACGCTCAATTATTACAATATTTATCGTTTATTATTTATTTATTATATTCAAACATATATTCGGGTTGTATAATCCGGACCCTCGAGTTCATATAATCCATCAATTATTTTGTTATTATATTTATAATATTATAATATAATATGAAAGTGAGACTTTTGAAAGTGAGAGAATATTGCAGGGAAAATAATAGCCTTATATAAGTCCTTTATATAGACTTTAAACAGACTAACGGAAAAAAAACACGTACTTTAGCAATTTCAAACTTGATAATCTGAGTCTGACTAAAAATTCCTAACAAATGGTTAGGTTTAAGCTTAATAATACAGTTTTTCTTTACAATATTAAGATAAGTATTAGCAATCAATTGCAAGTTTAGTAAAAGAAATCATTTAATCAAATTTTTATAATGTATAGTATTTCAAACTCATGTTTCAATTAAAAATACTTAAAAAAATGGTTAGGGTTTAAGCTTAATATAAAGATTTTCTTTAAAAAAATTTACGAATAGTATTAGCGATTAATTGCATGCAAGTTTAGTAAAAAAAAAAAAATCATTTAATCAAATTTTTTTTAATACATTTAATCAAATTAAGCTCTTATTCTCATTTAATCAAATTTTTATTTTTAAAATTTTATAATGTACTTTAAACTCAAATTTCAATTAAATCTTAAAAGAGCTCTCCACTTATCTTAGACTCAGCCAAAAAAAATTCAAATATAAGCCAATCCACCTTTCGTATAATCAAATTTGAATTTAATATCAACTGAATTATAGGAGTGGTTAAAGCAGTAATTAAAAAAAAAAAATTAAAAGTTGATAAAAACTATGAAAAATTATTAAGAAACAACTGGTGGCCGTCAATAAGGCTAAGAAACGCAACGGCCAACTCAAATTTGAAATTTAAAAATTAAGAGTAACGTAAAAACAGAAAAACAAAAAAAATAAAATAAAATTTGTACAATGATTTTTGCATGTGCGAAGGAATCTTCTTTCATTGGACAGCTCAGTACGACCTGGAGGGAGAACAGGCATCACTACAGCCGTACACGTGTCAGAAATCAACGGGTTTGATTGGGGTGCTTCAGGGTGAAAACAAAGAGGCTGACAGAGAGGCCATGCTCTGGAGATCCTCTCAATCAAACCCAGAATAATCTTCTCTCTCTCTCTGCCTTTCTTTATATAGCCCAACAATTTCAGGGATTTAAGTATACAATCAAGGCTTATGTCAAGCAGCCATTGAAGATAGAAATCAAGAAAATTTGAGTGGTTGAAGCTTTGAAGGTGTTATAGCAGCAACTATGGAGGTTTCAAGAGTTTGCTTCTTAATGTCTGTTTTTGCTATTGTCTTGGCATTGGCTATTCCTTCCATTAATGCCCAGGCCCCTGCCCCTGCCCCCACAAGTGATGGTAAGCTCTCTTCTCCCTAATTTTTTTTTTTTTTACATACTACACTGATATCTACATTTCACGAAATAAGTTTAATCCAATCGAAACTTCGTTTGAACCCCATTCGGGTTACTTTCTTGAAGGTGTTAGTGTATGCACATGAGTTAATTTTTCACTCTCAATTTTAGGTTATTTGGGGGAAGGGATTATTGATTAATGGGTAATTATTAATACAGTTTCCCTCTAATGTTATAATTTGTATACTCCTTGTCTCCGTCCCTCTGACACACACAAAAAATTCCCATCCATTCTCCCACGGGAATTTTAAGGGGACAGGAATTCCCCGCTCTCGAGTAGGTTGTAAATTCTCCACCTTCATGTTTAGGTCGCTGCTTAAACCCAAAATTGAGATTGTTATCTCTATAAAGGAAACCTGAATTTGGGTTTTAAGTAAAAACACGGACACTTTTTCATCTCTCACAAATTACAATGTGTAATACTGAAGTCGAAACGATTATAACATTATACTTAATACAGCACATAATTGTAGATATTCTAGAAGTTTTTAATAAATATTACCGGGTTATAAGTTGAAGAGTAAATTATTAAAATTGGTGAAATTTAGATGTGAATGCTGACAAATGGAATGAAATGAAATTGCAGGGGTGGCAATTGATCAAGGAATAGCATATGCTCTGATGCTGGTAGCTCTGGCGATTACTTACATGATTCACTGAGAGATATAAATATATATAATACATGTGTTTGTACTGTGTAGGGTGGTTTGTAATTGATGGAGTAATTGGGTAGCAGTAGACATTTGATTGTTAATTTTATTTCAAAAATTCATTTGCCTCTATTATTTATTTCCTTTGTATAAAAAAAAAAAACCAGCAATTTCAGTTTCCAATGTTCTAATTTCGTTCTATATAGAAGTTTTTATGTTCTTTATTTTTTAAATTTTATTTTAACTTTTTATATATGAATGTTGACGGTTATAATTGATTATAACTTTGAATGAGGACATGTATTTAAGGTTAATCGCCATTAAATAAATGTAATGGACTTTGGTTGAGTTGGGAAAAAGTTGTGTTCAAATTGAGTAAGAAAGCGACTTAAAGGCTGTGTTATGGAAGTCATTACGATGCGAGACATGTGTATAGGGAAATGAATTACTATGTTGACTATAATATAAAAAGTCATATTCATTTTCTTTTTTTTTTTTTGGAAATGTTTGTAAGTTTTAATATTTCTTTGAAAAAAATATGAATTTATCTATTTTAAAATTTGACTAATAGTTTGAATTTTGGGTCTTCCAGTGACCCCATGTAGGGATGACCACAGTTTTCCGGAAAATAGACGAACAGGAACTGGAATCTTAATATAAGGTTTCGGTTTCGGTTTCAACCGGCAGTTCTAGTTCAAATTGTACAGTGCACAATTATGGTTCAAACTTCCAGTACTCCATGTCTTCGGTGGGAATTGAACTCTACCTGACATTCGAATAAAACTTATCCTTAAACCATCAAGTTAAGGGTACATTCCAAATTTAATTTCTTTGTTAAATTGGATAACAATACTTTTCTTTTAATTTTCTACTTTTTAAATTTTTCAAAAAAAAAAAAAAAATCAGTTATTAAACAAAGCCTAAACCAACCAAATTCAACATAGTCAGAAACCTCTGAATCAGGGATTCAGACACAAACACGGGCCAAAATATTACTGGTAAAAGGGTTGAGCTCAAAGAGCCATTTCTGTTTGCAATGTGGCAACCTCCTCTTCCTCTTCCTTTTCCTTGTCTCTTTCCCCTGTCCTAGAAGAAGTCTGGGCTGATTGCTCGACTGGTGGGATATGCACTGGAGTAGCAGGGATGGTGGAAGTTGCAGGCTGCAGAAGTTGCTCTTCCAAGTCATCGATTTTCAACGCATCGAGCTCAGCCTCGAGTTCATCCTACAGAACAAAAAAAATGGAGCTAAAAAGCTGTGATGAATTGGGGAAAAAGAAATGCAGGTTTAGTTGCAATTTGCAGAACCTCATCAAAGTCAACTGCTGAACCAAGTGGAGCAGCCAATGCTTCCTGTATCTGTCTTATGTTCTCGGTCTGTTCATTCACTTCATCCAACGTCTTATCCACATAATCGATGTTCCTATACGCGATAAGAATAAGATGATCTCTCTTAGTTCAATCTCTTATTCAATCTCTTAACAGTAAAACCAATACTAACATTGTTTTCTCCATGGCTTTCATTGCAGCTGCTCCAGTTCTCAGAGCTTCAACCGTCCCCGTCGTGACTTTTGCACCTTCTATCATTATCATCTAACCATAAACACGCACGAGATAGATATGTTAACTGACATATGACTACTAAATTACCAGAGGATCAAGCCAACCTGATCATGAATGCGCAACTGGAAATTGAAAAGCTGCTCAATCTGCTGTTCGAAGAGTTTCTTCCTTTTCAAGCACTGTAAAGCCCCTGCACGAAGAAATGATCATACTAGGTCAAATAATTTCTGAACATTACACAAAGTTCTCATCTGTGTATAATGAATCATCAACCCTAGAATACAGAATAGAAACCCTAGAAATTGAAGATAAAAAGGACAAAATTTCATAACCTCTCTTGTTCTTCACTCTGGTAAATTCTTTCGCCCTTTCAGTTTCTTCCGCGGCCTTCTTTTGGAGTACTTTCTCCTTCTTCTCCAGCGACACCAGAGTCTTAACATACAAAAATGAACAAAATAAACAAATCATCCGATAGAACAAACAGCAGAAATGAAGAAATCACAGTCAAAGCTTATTCTACAATGGAGCCATTTCAATTTAAAAAAAAAAAAAAAGGTTCATAACCACAATTCTGATGCTAAGTTTACCAATGGAGAACATTGTTTTTCTAATTGACAGATTAAAAGGCTATAAATCGCACTTAGTTTCATGTATGTAGGTACCTCATTCAATTTATCAAGGGATGCAATATCATCATTTTTAGGCTTAGACTTCTTGAAGACCCGAGAAAACATCTTCTCTGCTTCAAAATATCACAATTGCTCCTACTGTTCTACAGGTATCATCCACCAGTGTGTTACCAGAATTTAGGTTTTAGGATCATTTGGAAGAGTTTGGAGTGATCAGGACTCTTTTATGTTGAGAGTGATAAAAACTCAAAGAAATATTAACCATTAATCTGTCTAAAAAATAGAGAAAAACCCAATATATATACATCATGAGTCCAGGCTTATGAAATCCATTTTAAATAAATATATATTTCAAGTTTACTTAACATATATATATATTTTTGAGAATACTTGACATATTGTTTAAGGTTCGTTATATCGTGTACAGCGGTGCACATGCACCACGGTCAAAATGGCCAGTAAAGAAACGGAGCGCCGTTAGTGTTGACGGATCGCGCATCTTTTTGTATGTTAATTACCAACTGACAGTACAATATATTTAAACCGACACTGCCTCACGTATTATTTTTATATTATCAAATGAAACTGTAGTTGTGGTGAAATGAAAATGCAGTCTATATAAAATGAAACTGAATAACATTTCACATATTTGAGTGTATATTGTACAATGAAGTTATATCAAAATAATCATGTAGCTGTGTTTTAATAAAACTATAGTGTATATAAAATAAAATTAAATAACATTTTCACATATTTGAGTCTATAAATATCGAATGAAACTGTAGTTATATCGAAATGAAACTGTAGTTGTGTTGATTTGTTGAACTGAAACTGCAGTGTATACAAAATGAAACCGAATGCAGAGTTACTTTTTGCGGAAGGATGCCGAACGGCTGGAAACGGATGCAGTTTCTTTTCATTAAACAAAACGACGTTGTTTGGATGCATGGTGCATAATCGATTATGCACCGCGGTACACGATATAATTTGTCATTGTTTAATTTAATTAGCCATATAAAAAAAATAAGAGTAATTCAAGTTTTATTATTTAATCATGGCAACATTTACGCTCTGTTCGACGGGCTTATACTTTATTTTAAGATTAAATGTTCCAAAAAATAAGCTAGTAGCTTAAAATAATACGAGTTCTATTACATATAGTCATATACACTCCAATCTTACTCCTTAAATTTTAGTCTTTGATGTGGCAGGCTATGATAAGTTATTTTTTTCATGTGGGCCCAATACAAAGATCTACATAAGGTTTTGTATGTGAGAGTACAAGTTGGGAGTAGAAAATCGGAGTACACATAGCATTTTCCAAATAATACTCCCTCTATCCCATTTTATCTGTCATATTTACTATTAATTGGTCAAACTAGCTTTTATTTTTTTAGTAGCTTCTAAACTTTTTTTCCATCTTTATCCTTATTATTTTAAATAAATGACATTCTGTACCCCTCCCAATTAAAATCGTTTTGGCATTTTCTATTCTCTTTTTTTTTTTTATGGAATAAGGGTCAATTTGGCCACCGAACAACACAAAAATACAATTAAGCCATCGAACTCAAAAAAGTACAATTATATTGGACCCAGGGGCGGAGCCAGAAATTCGGTTGAGAGGGGCGAAGAAGTATGGATGGATTCAGAAAATTTTTCCAGTAAAAGCGAAACATTAAAACAAAAGAGATAATTTTAAACAAAATAATAAATCACATCCAAACTTTATAAAACTATTCATAACAAATATGAAATATAATTAATTTGATAAAATAATTTAAATAGAAAATACATTAAAAGAATGTGACTATATGTTGAAGCCTAGGGGAGGAGTCAAAAAAACTGTAAAACTATATTGATACCAAGGATTTGAACCCTTAACCTTTACTATTACCAAACATGTGTTTTCCTAACTACTCTAACTCATTTCTTATTAATATTGATAATTTTTTATACTCATACTAAATCATGTACTATATATACATATATAAATTTGAAAAGTCTTTCAAAAAGAGCACGAAATTTTTCAAAAATATGATAAAGATCATATTTTTGTTTCATGAAAAAATACCAGGTAAAACGAGAGAAATCATCGACAAAGAGAACAAAGTATCTATAACCATCAGAAAATAAGAGAGGAGCTGGACTCCAAATATCAGTATAGGTTAAATCAAGAATATTTGAACTAGAAGTGTCAACACGTGGCAATGGAAAACGAGAAGATTTACCCATTTGACACGCATTACATAAACTATAATTACAACGAATAGAATTACTAGACCCACTAACCGAACAATAAGGAAGAACATGACTAAGGACACGATGGTGGGGATGGCCCAAACGATCATGCCAGACAGACGGAGACGCACGGGCGGAAAGAAATGCAGAAGGTGACGAACTTAGAATTGGTAGTGTGTATAACCCACAAGAACTATTGCCCCGAAGAAGAATCTCATTGGTGTTGATATCTTTCACAACAACAACAACAACAACAACAAAAAAAAAAAAAAAAAAAAAAAAAAAAAAAAAAAAAAAGATGGATGAAACTCAAAAAAGACTTTATTATCAGATGCAAATTTCTGAACTGATAATAAAGAGGTAGGTAAAGTGGGAACATGAAGGATATTAAATAAATGAAACGACCTAGAAGGGATATGAATAGATGCATGACCAATATTACAAATAGGCAAACATGTACCATCACCGACACGGAGGGTGTCATTACCATTACACGCGTCCGAGATAGAGAGCGCCACTATATCTGGAGTTGCATGATTTGTTGCAACCGTGTCCGGGAACCAACTGTGAGAGTCTTGTGAGGAATCTGAAGGAGTTCCCTGATAAACCATATTAGCCAGTGGATCCTTTTCATACTGTTTGTAACATGTATGGGCAGTGTGCTCTAGAATCCACAAAGTTGACACTTAGGATGGTGATTGTCGTTCTTACCGCCACGACCACGACCACCATTGTCGCGACGACCACCACCACCGCCACGGGACTGCCCGGAGCCATGTCCGCCACCACGCGACTGTCCACCCCTGCCGCGCTGCTACTACCCGGATTTCTGTACGGAAAAGGCTGTCGGCAATGAATTCTTCGGCGCCTAGGAAATCCGAGAGTTCATGGAGCATGACCGGTGTTCCCTAGACATTGAGAGAAGAGACAAGGTCCTGAAATTCAGGTCGTAAACCCGGGAATACATATAGGTTTTGTTTTTCAAGCGGAATGTGTTGGCCGGCGAGGGTAAGGTCTTCAATGAGAACCTGTGCCGGCCGATATAATCAGTAACAGAAGCATCATCCTGCTGTAGCGTCTGAAGTTATCCAAGATGATTGAACGAGCGAGACCAAGACGAAGAGGCAAGTGCGGAGATAACGGCAGTCCAAACTGCACGGCTGGTGTGATGCCCTATAGCCAAGAACTTAACTTCATCAGATAAAGAGAACATGAGCATGGAGAGAAGCGTTTGATCCTGACGAACCCCACAGATGATGGGCGGGATTCGGCAGGGACGGCATCCCCTTTGCGTCGGACGAGATCCTGACTAATGGGCATGGATTTGATCTGTCGATGAAGCCCATTAGGTCATGTCCGTTGAGAAAAGGAACAACTTGAGTCTTCCAAAATAAGAAGTTCCGATGAGCTAAGTCAATTTGACGCTGATGAAGTGATGAGCGGAGGGTGGTTATGGTTGAAACCACCGATGAGGAGGGAACATCAGAAACAGTCCGTTCAGAGGAATTGATAGATCCGTCAGCCATTGGATAGAAACCCTAGCTAGTTGATACTAGATGAGAATTGTAATCAATTGTATTAATAGTGATAATTACTAGAGTACAGGACCTAAGTATATATACAAGAGGAGACAGAGAGGACTAGGAATGTGAATCATAAGTAGACTCACATACACAAATAGAGTCCTAATAGAGAAAAGGTGGATTGGATGAACTCTGTGCAGTTTTGAAATAGTGAAGGTTTCTTTGTCTCCGGGCCGGAGATGATAATTGGTTTTTCGTCTCTAGCAACTTGGAGGTAAAATGATAAGTCTTGTTTTTTGTTTTTTGTTTTTAATTTTATTTAAAATTATTAAAATAAAAATAAAAAAAAAATTATTTTATAATATGGTAACTGTCACGTCAGCAACTAACAGGTAAACAAGTTTTTTTTTTTTTTGTTGAATATAGTTTTTTTTTTTCTTTTTTAGTTTGATGGCTAGGGATGGCAACGGGGCGGGGCGGGGCGGGGAGTATACTGCCCGTCCCCGTCCCCGGCGGGGAATTGAAAATGTTTCCCATCCCCGTCCCCGCGGGGAATTAGACAGGGTCGGGGATTCCCCATTTCCCGTCAACTCCTACTCAAAATGTTAAATAATTTTAATTTTTAATAATAAAAAATTAAAATTTAAGTACTAGTTTCAAAAATTAAAATACTAACTAACTATATATATATATATATATATATATATATATATATATATATATATATATATACACACACACACACTATCAGTATACTATATATATGTGTGTAATGAAATATATATATATATATATATATATATATATATATATATATATATATATACACTAACAATATATTATATATATACTCTAATAACATTAATTAGTATACTATTAGTATAGAATATATATAACTGTGTTAATATTAATTATAAAACATATATATATAATTATTCGGGGACGGGGCGGGGCGGGGCGGGGAGGGGTATCCCCGTCCCCGTCCCCGGCGGGGATTCACACATATTCCCCGTCCCCGTCCCCGTTCCCCGAAAATTTTCCCCATCCCCATCTCTTTCGGGGCGGGGATCGGGGATCCCCGTCGGGGACGGGGCACATTGTCATCCCTATTGATGGCCTACATTTTTTTGTGTAGTTTGGTGGCCTATTTGACCTTTTATTCCCTTTTTTTATTCATCTTCTTCCCGCAACTTCTTCACCCACAAGCACCCTCCTTTATCTACATTCGAACAACTTGGACCACTTGGATTGTTACAAAATGAGCCACATGAGGTTATTTATACTTATTACACCTCCTTAACGTACCGTGGAGATCTACTTGATCGTATGATTATGATTATATTTCTAAAATCCTCCCTAAATTCTACACAATCATGAGTTCTATAATGTTTTATAAGATTTTATAAATCTCTACACTTCTAATATATATTTATATATTATATTTGTGCTTTAATCGTGCACATTCTTCTCTTCAAAGTTGTATTGAGATGTCGTTTGGAGTATTGAAGAAGAGATGAGAGATACTTGTTAAAATGTCACAGTTTAGTGTGTAGACCCAAATTGATGCTATTATGATCACATTTGCACTACATAATTATATCCGGAAGAATCTGCAAAATGACACATGATATTTAATGTGCTTGAGCAGCATCCAAATTACATGTCACCTGATGAATTTCAAGATTCAAGTAGTAATATCTCTATCAACCAAAATTTAAGTGAGACTCTATTGAGATGAAGGAGATTTCCAACAATATTGTCACTTCAATATGGGATGGTAGATCATGATTATGCTAATAATTTCATTTCAAAATGTTAAATTTTAATATAAACAAACCTATTTAAATTTTATGAAGATGTCTTTTTTTAGTCTTCAATTTGCAGCTTCTAGTTATAACTTGCTTCAAAACCAGTGTATTACCAGAATTTAGGTTTTAGGATCATTTGGAAGAGCTTGGAGTGATCAGAACTCTTTTGAGTTGAGAGTGATAAATATTTATCATTATCATTAATCTATAACAGAGAAAAAAACCCGATATATATACATCATGAGCCCAAGCTTATTAAATCCATTTTAAATAAATATATATTTCAAGTTTATAACAAATTGTTTAATTTAATTAGCCATATAAAAAATAGTAATTCAAGTTTTATTATTTATTCATGGCAACATTTAATCATTGCATATTGAGATGTGATGCAACATGTCTAAATTTTGATTCCTTTATGCTTATATACTTGTCCATTTTAACAATTAGAGAATATTTAACCATCGTTTTAAGATCGATAGAATAGGCCACAATTAAAATTTAGATCAGTTTGTACTTTACGAGCTACCAAATGCCTATCATCATTTCAGGTGAAGTTCATACCAGTGAACATAAGTCAAAACTCAAAAGCCACAACTCATTTAAATTCTCAAACAATATGCCCTTACCCGACAAAGAGATTCAGAGATGGGAATTAATGTAAGCTGAGAGAGATCTATGGGGTTCGTTTGGGTAAAAACAACTTAATCCATCAAAAACAAAGGAGATGTCATCACATAATAATAGAAAGCTGGAAATTGTAGTTTAGTACAGCATCCAAAATGGCTATAACAAGAACATTCATCAGAGTTACAAACTCTAAAATAAGAAAAATCTTCATTTCTTCATTTACTTCTCAGATGAGTTTGGCCCTCTCTTCTTACCAAAGCCAACAACTGTAAATACGAGAAAAACAAAATATCCAATCAGAAAATTATATAAGTACTCATAAATAGCATAACATGTAATCACCTTGGGTAAGCAAAAGACTACTCACACATCCAAGCAAAAGTGTCGCTAATATGACTCAAAAAAAGAGTTCAGTTGTAGCCATACAAAAAAAATCAAGAAACCAAGACAACTGGGGAAGCAATCTTTAAAAACTATGCAAAACAGAGCTAACAGACAACAATTAAAGGTTGAAATGTTACAGCAACCAGAATGATCTGTCCATGATGTACAAATTTGACAAATAAAAAAATGAAAAATCATAACTTTAGATGTTTCAGACATCCAAGGAAGGATAAAAACAGCACTAGCTCTCAAGCCCGGCGAAGGCGAAAGCTCTTAGGCGGCCACTGCGAATGTTTTGAGAAACAAGCCTTTGGATTTCTCATCATCAACTTATATCATTATTCAAAAACTAACAAAACATAGAGAATACATAATCTTAGATACAAATTTGACAAACAAAAACAAGGAAAAATCACAAATTTAGATGTTTCAGACATCCAAGGAAGGAGAAAAGCAGCACTAGCTCTCAAGCCTGGCGAAGGCGAAAGCTCTTAGGCGGCCACTGCGAATGTTTTGAGAAACAAGCCTTTGGATTTCTCATCATCAATCAACTAATATCAATTTTCAAAAACTAACAAAATATAGACAAATACATAATCTTAGATACAAATTTGACATACAAAAACAAGGAAAAATCACAACTTTAGATGTTTCAGACATCCAAGGAAGGATAAAAGCAGCACTAGCTCTCAAGCCTGGCGAAGGCGAAAGCTCTTAGGCGGCCACTGCGAATGTTTTGAGAAACAAGCCTTTGGATTTCTCATCATCAACTTATATCATTATTCAAAAACTATCAAAACATAGACATATACATAATCGTAGATACAAATTTGACAAACAAAACAAGAAAAAATCATATGTTTAGATGTTTCAGACATCCAAGGAAGGATAAAAGCAGCACTAGCTCTCAAGCCCGGCGAAGGCGAAAGCTCTTAGGCGGCCACTGCGAATGTTTTGAGAAACAAGCCTTTAGATTTGTCATCATCAACTTATATCATTTTTCAGAAACTAACAAAAAAAATAGACCAATCTTAATCTTAGATAGCAAACTTTTTACTGCACAAGCAAATATACTGAATTGAAATCAATATAAAACCTTAAAAAATTCAAAACTATAACAAATCCGAGCAAGATTTCAAACACACACACACAGATTATGAATCCCTCGGGCAGAAAAAAAAAATCCAAAGCCTATAAATAATCAAAGAAAAGATGAAATTACCGGCTGTAACAAAGCGGCGATTGTACTGCATCCGCTTATGAGCACGGCCGCGGGGCTTCTTCTTCTTATCTTGCTTGGCAACCTTAGGAGTCTGCCCTCTCACCTTGCCGGCACGAGCCAAAGATCCGTGTACCTTACCTAAAATTATGAAAACAAATTTTAAAAATTTACAAAAATAAAGATAACTACATTCACACAAATCATTCAAATTATACTAACCCATTGCAGATTTCTAAGTCTCCGGCCGCCGATTGAAATGGCTTGCGCTCCCTGATTCTCCGACTGTTGAACAAGAACGTAGCTGCCAAGACCGCTGTATTTAAGGGCTAGGGTTTTAACGAATATTTATATACCAATTAGGATTTAGCCCATATATATGGGCTTAGTGGATATTGGGCTCTAAAATGACTCGGTTAACCCATTAATAAAAAGCCCAATGACTTCCGACGTAATTACGAGAAATGCCACTAGGGTTTAATCTGCTCTCTTTTATTGGGTCGTCTTCTTCACTGCTCGTCTCCCCCTCTCTCCAAACCCTAGTAAGCTATTTGTTTCTGAAGAGTGAAAATGGTGGAGAAGACGAAAGCTAGAAAAGAGGAGGTTGTTACCAGAGAGTACACAATCAATTTACATAAGCGTCTTCATGGCTGGTAATTCCTATATATGTTTATACTACAGATTGAATAGACGATGAATTTACTTTTTTGCGGTTTGAAATTTAGCTGAAAATGGATTTGATGAAGTTTTAGATAGCTCTGGCTTTATGACTTGTTCTTCTTCGGTTAAAAATATGCTGCCTTACATGCTTATATGTGAATTTGTGTTAGGGATTGATTTGTTTAGATATCTTTTAAGGGCTTTTTATGCTTTTTTCTTACAATTTTGTTGAATTGTATTGGGTAATGTTTGAACAAAGAACAGTTTATTAGGTTAGGAATCAGCCTCATGATTAAGTGTTCTTAGACAATGTTATCAAAATGAATTGAACAAATTTGTTCTTGTGCCAATATATCATTCATAACTCATTGTCCTATAAAATCTTATTGAAATGATATTGCCCCAGTGCTAAAATTTTCCTGGTTGCATTGCAATTGAAGTAGTGATTCGTTAACTTTGAGCTGGAAATAGAAGGAAAAATTACTACTTTTTAAAACATTCTTGTTGTTGTTGCCTTTTAAAAACAAAAATATTACGAAGAATTCTTATATTGATATGAGTGTTTGTACTATGAAGGAAATATATACAAGAAGAATAACCACTAGTAACTGCATAACTCGAATAACCACTCATTAACACCTAACAAATTAATGTATTTGTTTGTATTGCTTATATATATGATATTCAACGTCCATTTTTATGTGGTTATATAACGGGCAATCTTTTTGTGGTGACAGCACATTCAAGAAGAAGGCACCTAATGCCATCAAGGAGATCAGGAAATTTGCACAGAAAGCTATGGGGACGACAGATGTGAGAGTTGACGTGAAGCTGAACAAGCACATATGGAGCAGAGGAATCCGAAGTGTCCCAAGACGTGTTAGAGTTCGCATTGCTCGCAAGAGGAATGATGATGAGGATGCAGAGGAGGAGCTTTATTCTCTTGTTACTGTTTCTGAAATCCCACCGGAAGGGTTGAAAGGGCTAGGTACTAAGGTCATCGACGATGAGGATTAGTTTGTACTGTTGGAAAACTTGAAAACTTGACATTCTTGTTATCTTTTAAGTTTCTTAGCTTATGAGTTTGTCTAAATGTTTTGTTGCTTTTTCTTTAGACATGGTAACTTTATTGAGAGGCTTTTACAGTAACTTGAATGTGTTGATTAATGTTAGTGATCTTGTGCCATGTTGATTAACTTTGATTAATGTTGATTAATGTTAGTGATCTTGTTAGGCTTTTACAGTAACTTGAGTTGTGGCACAGATAATAAATGCAATTGAAATGTACATGAAAATATGAGTTATTCAACTTTTTTTTTTAAATGTAATTAGAACTTAACAAAAAATGTAATTAATTTTTTTAATAAAGTACATTTGTGCATTTAAATCAATTGAGTTCGTTTTCAGCAAGTTATGAGAAATAAATATTTTAGTTTTCACCTATGGTTGGAGAGTTGGAGTCTTGGAGATGAGAATAAATTATTTAATTCTAATTGTATATTTGTATTTAGTGGAGAAAATGGTTTATGTAAATATTTACTTAAATAATTATTATCAATCTAAATATATGTTTTATAAATTGATTTTAAATCAAACAAGGGCGTTTGGTCTAGTGGTATGATTCTCGCTTTGGGTGCGAGAGGTCCCGAGTTCGATCCTCGGAGAACGCCCCATTCTGTTTAGCATCTATTTTCGGCTTTTCGCATCCTAACTTTGGAGATCTTTACAAGATTTAGAGATCCTCTAAATCTCTAAAATAGCCATAAAATCCCTGTCACACGTCTTATGTGAAGATTTAGACATCCTCAAAATCTCTAAAATAGCCATAAAATCCGGTCACACGTCTTCTGTGAATTAGTAATTAGTATTGGGAAAAGGGTCAAATAGACCCTTAAACTATAGGCAAAAGAGCAATTAGGCCCTTCAACTTTGACAAGGTGCAATTAGGCCCTTCAACTTGTTATTTTGAGTCAAATAAACCCAATAGCAGGTTTTTCACCTGGAATAACCGGTCAAAAATTCCGGCGAAATTTCCGACCTTGTTTCCGGCGACAAAAAAAAAAAAAAAAAAAACACAACTTGCCGGAGAAGACAACAGTTCGGTTGTCTTCTCCGGTGGAGAGGGCGGCCAGATCTGGTCGTCCTCTCCACAGTCCTCTCCGGTGGAAAGGAGTGGAGAGGACGACCAGATCTGGCCGCCCTCTCCAGTGGAGAGGACGACCGGACTGGTCGTCCTCTCCACTGGAGAGGGCGGCCTGATCTGGTCGCCTTCTCCACTGGAGAGGACGACCGGACTGGTCGTCCTCTCCAATGGAGAAGGCGACCTGATCTGGTCGCCTTCTCCACCGGAGAAGACAACCGACGGTTGTCTTCTCCGGCAAGTTGTTTGTTTGTTTTTTTTTTTTTTTTTTTTTTTTTTTTTTGTCGCCGGAAACAAGGTCGGAAATTTCGCCGGAATTTTTGACCGGTTATTCCAGGTAAAAAACCTGCTATTGGGTTTATTTGACTCAAAATAACAAGTTGAAGGGCCTAATTGCACCTTGTCAAAGTTGAAGGGCCTAATTGCTCTTTTGCCTATAGTTTAAGGGTCTATTTGACCCTTTTCCCATTAGTATTTGTCCCATCAAAGATTTATAAGCATTGTTGTAATATTATCATACCAGGTATAATTAGTTTTAGTAAAAATTAGTATTTGCGCACGTGCAATGCACTGAATGGATTTGTTGTAATATATTAAGAATATTTGGATCGATATATAATTATTTAAATTAGAACATCAAATATTATATAATGCAATTGAATGTATGATTTGGATTGTTTATGTATTTTTATGTTATTAATTGCTCAAATTAATAGTTAATATATAAATGTACGCATGCGGTGCTGTAACTTTTGAGATTTTATTTATCATTGTTCAGTATTTTTATAAATTAGTCAAATGTGCTCGCTCTCTACCAACTCAGTTATAAAAATGAATTGATATCCTAATTTATTTGTATGGAAAATATATTTTTTGTCTAGATATATAGAAATTTTGCCATTTAAAAAACCATAATACCACATATTGTATTTACACATTATTGAAATCTCTTTGTAGACAACATTGGTAGTAACAACACAATCTTGTCCATCTTCGTCTATAGCTAACACCTTTAATCCAAAAGGATGGTGACTCGGGTGAAAATATGTAATGGTAAAATTTCAGTCAATTAGTGATCCTTTTATATTTTCAGTCAATTAGTAATATTAGATTCATTTTCAGGCAATTATTCTTTTTTATTTTCAGTCAATTAGTCTATTAGATACATTGATATTTTACTTAATTTCAGTTCCATTTTTAATTGATGATGTAGAATATTTTTATTGAAATATTTTTGTTCAATTCTATTTATAATTTACCTTTACTAATGTTTAAAATATGTATTTACTATTGATGATGTAGAATATTATTATTGAAATATTTCCGTCCAATTTTTAATTTTCGTTCCATTTTTAATTAAAATGCAATGATCTTTCAATTTTTTTTTTTCATTTCAATTATGGATCATTTTTTATTTGCAGTCAATTATTAATATTCATTTCCTTTTATAATTTCAGTCAATTAATAATATCATATTTATTTTCAGGCAATTATTCTGTTTTATTTTTAGTCAATTAAAATATCATATGCAGTGATATTTTTACCTATCCGAACCATTTTTAATTGATGATGTAGAATATTTTTATTGAAATATTTCCGTTTCATTTTTAGTTTATCTTACTATTGTTTAAAATATGTATTTACTATTGATGGTGTAAAATATTATTATTGAAATATTTCCTTTCTATTTTTTATTTACTTTTACTTGATGATGTAGAATATTATTATTGAAATATTTCCGGTCTATTTTTAATTTATGTTCTATTGTATAAAATTGTGAAAGATTTATGATATCATTGTGATTTGATTTATTCTACTGTGTAATATTATTGTGAAAAATTAAAATGCAATAATCTTATAATTTTCTTTTCCATTTTAGTCAATTATGGATCATTTTTTATTTTCAGTCAATTATTAATATTTATTTCCTTTTCCAATTAACCTAATTTATGATTTTTTTTTTCATTTTTCATTTTTAATCAATTATATTCATTTATTTTTCAATTTACCTAATTTTTGTTACATTTTTAATTGATTATGATGTAGAGAATTATTGTGAAATATTTCTGTTCATTTTTTAATTTACCTTTACTATTTACTATGGTTTGGGCGGGAAATCAAGTAAATAGAATTTTGTTTTTAATTATAGTATAGATTTTCCAGCAATCCAAACACTCCCTTAATATCCCAAAAACGGATAAAGAAAAATCATTTCATTAAGGAAATTAAAACTAATTAAAGTAAATCTAATCATGCTATATTTATTTGTAATTGTATATTAATTTCATTTTGAAATCATTGGTTCACATATTTGAATTATTTATTTTTTCTTTAATTATTATAAATAGAAATGATATTGTACTAATTAATTAATGATATTTATCAAATTGTATTTTTTTTAAATATAGTGTTCTACCCGTGCGTTGCACGGAATTTTTTTTTTTATATTATGAATTTAAAAGTGAAAATAGAAAACAATGAAAAGATGTTATAATGTACAATATAATAATATAGTTGGACTTTTATATATTTCGTCAAGTATCTATTTTCATAATATACAAAATTAAAATTTAAAATTTGTATGGTTAATATAATCTCTAATCATGTACATATTTAGATAAATTTATTGAAAAAATTCACATAATTAAGTTGATTTACTCCTAATTGTATTTCATATATATTATAAGTCTAAAATATGAATAATAACTAAGAGAATTGTACTTAGAAAACAATAAAAAAATGTAAATTATAAATTTTGTATGAATAAATTTAAACTCTAATCGGACGCATTTCCTTATTTGATTGTATAATACATTGTATATACACATAATATTTATTAATATATATATATAGAAAAATTCTATAATATAATTTCATTAATTATAATTTATATTAATAGATTTATAATTAAAAAATTAAATTTATAAATTTTAAAAGTAGCATTTGAATATTTTATGATTATTATAGTGTATAAATGTATATATATTTTTTTAAAAAATTATAAATATTCATGTTTTGTTAATTTTATACTTTCATTTCTTTAATTATATTTCATATTTTATTAATTATAATTTAATGAAATTGCCACAAATATTTCTAGGAACGAAATCTTATATTTCTCAGTTTCAATAATTATATTAATTATTATTACCAAATATGTTGGCATTTACCCTAATAATTTCATTAATTATATTAATTATAATATTTGTTCTATTCCAATATTTAAATACATTACCATAAAACTACCATAATAATTACACGAAAGAAGGAAAGAAAAATTATTAGAATAATTACCATTAATAAAAATTAAGAAATTATATTAAAAATTAATTAATTATATATATATATATATATATATATATATATATATATATATATATATATATATATATATACACTTTTAATTCTATATTGATAAGCATAGTATGTGTATATACTTTAAGAAATTATTAACTATTGAAAAGAGGATATAATTTTAAAAAGTAAATTATTAATTAAATTACCTAATATAATTGTCCTACTAATTGATTTCATACTTATAATTCATACTAGTTTTTTTACGCGCTTTGCGCGAATGGGATAATGCCCAATAATTATTTTTAAATAAGTATTCCAAAGTATATCAATGCAATATTATATAGAAGATGTTCATGCATAGGTAAATAAATGTTGAATTTATTTATTTAAATCGGTAATTTAAAGTATATAATTGCAAGATAATATATGAGAGATTGATTATAGCTGTCACTAAAATAAATGTTTGTAACTTTGTAATAATGCTAGTCTAAATACTTAGTCTTAAAGCGATAGTCTAAATAAATACTACTTTTTGTTTAATAATAAGAGTAATAAAGTGTCGTACATACTTTTCTTCAACAATAATGAAATCAATGATTTTTTTTTTAAATTTTCATTCCTTGTTGAGACAAATTGTTTTGAGAGTTTGTCCATAACAATTGCTACAATTGCTGTCAATAGAGGATGATAATAAATAATTCAAAATATATGGTTACAATAGATATTAATATAATGATATAGTAAAAATTAACTTACAAATTTCTTTAAAAGTTTTCATGCATTGATAAAATTTTGATGTGTAAACTTGTTCAATTGGAGCTAGTAGGATGTTAACATTGTCAATTATTTGAAAAATGATCTTACCGTTTTAGAGTCTATGTGTAATTGTATTTATGATCAACAACTTTGTAGTTAGGCCGCGCAGGTCAGACAATGATGTAAGAACAATTTTGTCCGATAAAAAAAATAATAGTATAATATTTGTAAAATAATGTAGAATTGTACCATTATAAAAAAATACAAAAATTATTAATACCATAATGGCCTAAATCATTCCAATAATGCAAAAGCATAATTGAAATATTAAGTTTTGTTCTAAATAATCCGAAGAAGATTAATTTATTAAAAAAAAAAAACTTAACCTAAATTTATTTTTTTTAATAAAAAATTCAAGAAAATCAAATGATTTTAAAGTAGTTCTTGATTTATAATATTTGATGCTCAACTTTGAATGCTATTTATTTAGTCGAGTTAATTATTTGACCAAAGTTTATGTTAAATTTTATATTTATATATTTTTTTAATACATTTTAACATATTCATAATATATGTTTAACAATTATGCCAACTATACTTGGGATGAGGTTCGAACTTAAGACCTTATATAAATTAAGAGTATATTAAAAATAATAAATAGTTAACGGAATATTCCGTTACTAAAGTTTAAAATAACGGAATTTAAGGTTATTTAAGGGAAGAAAATAATATAATAGAGGGTAAATAAGGAAAATCATTAAAAGATACTAAAATAAAAATAATATGAACCATTCATTTTAAGAAACAATTAGTACCGACATTTTTTTTTATTCCAGTTAAGGGCCTAACATTATTCGCTCTTATTAGATTTGTAGATATTTGAAAAAATTATAAAGCTAAATACGTATTAATTGCTTTAATAATTAAGATAATTTTTAGTCAATCAATATTCAATAGTACTAAATGTATTACTTCAAATTTTTATACATAAGATATAATATTATTAAACCAAAATAATTAAAAATAATGTGTCCATATTACAAAATATTTTATAATAGTAATTTTTATTGCCTAATAGAATTTGTCAATTATTAAACATTATTTATGCTAATTATTGTATGTCGTTTAATACTAAGATTATTAGGTAGAAACTTTATAATTAAGGTATAATATTATTACATCAAAATTACTAAAAATAATGTGTCCACACTATAAAATAAATTATACTTGTCTTAATAATTATTTATTAATATAAATTTACAATTGTTTTATTTTTAGCATTTGTAACATGAAAATAAAACTAATATTTCCTAATTTCTGAAAATAAAGATGAAAATAGTTTTCATTTTCATAACAAAACTTCTCAATTTCCGTTTTACTCATAAAATTACTAATACTAATTAACTCCAATTTACCTTTTATTTTCATTCCACATTTTCCGTTTTCTTTTTCATTTGTAACAAAATTATTTCCATATTTAATTACATTATTTACTTAAGAAAGAATATTTTTTTATAAATTACATTATTCTCTTACTAATTATGTTTTATTACTTCTTTTATCAATACTCAATTAATAGATTTTAATTATTTTTTATTAAATATTTGCTTTCCAAATAAGATTTATTAATTATTTGGTCAATAAAATTTTTAATTAATTGAGTAGAAAAGTTTGAACGGAAAAATAATGTAAGAGAATTTTACTTATATAGATAAATAGATAGCCAGACAGAGAGACTGAGAGACAGATAGATAAATAGATAGAGATGTGTGTGTGTTTTATTTACACATTAATAATTATTAAAATTTTTATATATTATCATTTAAAAAATAAAATACATTAATTGATTGTTGGGCATAGTATTAGCGTTTCGCGTAAAACGCGTGCTCTTGCCTAGTTTGTTTTTATATACCTAACTTTCTTTTGGAAATACAAAAGAGGAGGTGGGACCCAGGCTGATGGGCAAAAAAACCGCCTACACTATCTCAAACACGAGACGCAATTCATATACCTAACTTTAACCACTGCAAAGTGCAAACCTTGCTTATTCTTCTTCGATTTCGCAATTCGCAGTTTTAAAAGAGCGACTGAATAATTGGTTGCCCGGGTGGCGGACTGAAGGTGAAGGTTGTGGCGTCGGCGGAACAGCGGTGGAGTGACGAAGATCGAACGGCTAGCTGAGGACTGAGGTTGACCTTCTCTCCTACTTCTTTACCCTAATGTCTATTTATTTAAATTAAATATTCTGCTGCCATAGTTTCGACCTTTGAATGCCACTGCTCGTTGCGACGCTGCTGGGTTGCGGCCACTAAATTTGTGTCCTATATTTTAAGTGGATTTGTATTTGTGTGTGTGATGTTGATGATTTGATGTACTGCAAAATTACATAATACAGAGAGCACTGCTGCTTAGACTTTGGATTTGATTGATTCCTAAATTGTTTTGACATTACACATCTTATGTTGAGAAGTCGAAAGCTGGAGAAGAACCCTTAGCTTGGACTTTGTAGATCATCTTTCGGAGATATTGGGGGGTATGTTTTCTCTGTTCATCCTCATTGTATATGATGATCAATGGCCTCTGCAAATTTTCTTTTTCATGCCTCACCCATTTCAGACATACTACAAGCTGCAGGAATTGAAGTTCAGCACAATGCTTGAGAAGGGATTGTTGAAGAGTGAAGAACTATACAAGGTATTTTCATATATTGACACACATGTTTTCTGTTTTTGTTAGTTTTAATTTGTTGATAGCTTGCTAGTACGAGTCTGATTATTGATTGATTGTTGTGTGAATTGGATCAGTATATATTGGAGACTAGCGTGTATCCACGCGAAGCTGAGCCCCTCAAAGAATTAAGAGCCATCACTGCTAATCATCCAAAGTACGCCGTTGAAACTATAAATAATCTATCTTATGTTCTTTTAAGAGCCTTCAATTTGGATGTGTTTTGCCTGATTTTCGACTTTTGTTTCAACAGTTGTCTGATGGCAACTGCACCAGATGCAGGTCAATTGATACGTATGGTGTTGAGTCTCCTTAATGCCAAAAGGACGATTGAAATTGGAGTGTTTACTGGATACTCATTGCTCCTCACAGCTCTCACCATTCCTGATGATGGCAAGGTTAGTGCAGTACTACTGTACTAGTGCCTCCCTGATTTTATCTAGTTACCAAGTTATTTATTTCTGTGTCTGAATAACGTAACACTGTTGTCCACTATGCCAAAAACCATAGCTAATACAAAAGATATAACTTTATTCCCTTTTACTTGAGTAGCAGTTAGCACCACGTTTCGATGGTAGAATGCTGGACTCGGCTCTCCAAGCCGCCGCCCAACAACTACCTTATTATTATTATTATTATTATTTTTTATGTAAACCACGAGGTGGTTCAGGTCTTTTTCTGTCCGTTTAACGGTCCAGGTCCCCCCGACTAATCCCCGTTCACTCCGGGAGGCACGGGAGCTGGCTCAACTACCTTATTATAATTAAACTTCATTAAAACTACATGCAGATTATAGCCATAGACCAAGACCGAGAAGCATACGAATATGGGTTGCCAGTTATAAAAAGAGCTGGAGTTGAGCACAAAATCACTTTTGTGGAGTCTGATGCTTTGATGGCTCTTGATCACCTCCTGGAAGATGTGAGTACTGATTAGGCCGGTGGGATTACCCTTGCTACTTGCTAGGGTATAGTAGCCTGAATCTTGAATAACTCGATACTTCTTTTAATTTGTTGCAGAATGGTAACAAAAACAGTCTTGACTTTGCTTATGTTGATGCGGACAAAAAGAGTTACAAAAAGTATCATGAAAAACTATTGCAGTTGATTAAGGTTGGTGGGATCATAGTGTACGATAACACCTTGTGGGGAGGAACGGTTGTAATGCCGGAGGAGTCTGTTATCGACCGGATGAAACCAGGCCGGCAATATACAATTGAGTTTAATGCATTTTTGGCTTTGGATGATCAAGTGCACATCTCTCACGTCCCTGTAGGTGATGGGATTACTATTTGTAAGCGTCTCAAATGAGTGATGAATAGATTTTTCGCGATTGGGAGCAAAACAGTCATTTCAAAATCAAACGGTCGTCGCTACAAGAAGAAGGTAGGAGATGGAAGAGTTTGAAATGATTGCTTTGTCCTCGTGAATAAACAATTTAAAAACATTTACGTTTTTCCGGCAATATTTGGCCAGTGATTTTGACTGGGAGGACCAAATATGTTAAAAATTGCATAATAATAAGACTAAATTGTTAGTTTTTAAAGTAAGTACTGAAATTAACAAGATCCCTTTAAATTATGTTAATCTTTTGACCGGGAATTCATATAATAACCACAGTGTCACGTATGTGGAAGCATCCATATCTCTATGGTGTGGACTCATTGCCGACACTCCAACAGCATAACAAATGGAGCAAATACCAATTTTGGTCCTACAAGTATAAGTAAAATGACAATTTTGGTCTACAAGTCTTATCAATTTTCATCTACAATTATTGTTTTAGTACCAATTTTCATCCACGACTATTATTTTAGTATCAAATTTGATAACGCCGGTCACCCCTCCATTTAAGATATACCGAAATCTAAAAATTTTAAAGGCATTTTCTTCCTTTTCAACTTAAGATTTCAATTTGACCATGAATAAAGGGATTTAAGACCTAAGATCGATCCCGATTCACAGTTCTTCTCCTCATCCTACCATAATTTGAGGAGGAGAGCTGTGAATTAGGATTAATTTTAGGGTTTAAATGTCTTTATTCATACTCAAATTGAGATCTTAATTTGAAAAGGACGAAAATATCCTTAGTAATTTCATATTTTGGCTTGTCTTAAACGAAGGGGTAATCGACATGATGAATTTTGACATTAAAAAAGTGGTAGATGAAAATTGATACTAAAACAATAGTCATGATTGAAAATTGGTAGGAATTAAACATGTAGATCAAAAGTGTCATCATTTTCTAATACTCGTGGGACCAAAATTGATATTTGCTCATAACAAATACTCCGTATCATTATTGTATGTAGTAGATCATACTAGTACTATATATACAATAATACATTCAATTTCTATTACATTTTTTCCTTTAACAATATGTGGTGTGTTTGCCAAATACCTTGTATTTAGATGACATGTAGTGACTCTCTCATATAAGAGGTCATGGGATCGAGTCTCATGAGTTGGAGTTAGTGAATTTCTCCAGATAAAAAAATAAAAACAAAATTTTTTATAATTATACATCTTTTTCTTCAATGAATAAAATTACAACACCTAATGAAAATTTTACAACATGAGAATCTACATATCATTTTTCGTTGGTGTATGGTGGGCGCAATGCAAGTTGAGCAGCTTATTGAGTGTGTGAACCACTTCCCAAGAAATAATATAATAACATCAACTTTCCATTATTTTTGACAAATTTATAGTGTAGAATTATATATTAAGATGGGCGATGGTTGCAACCACGCACCGTCCACCGGGAAGAAGGTTGAGTAGCACGAGATGGCGGTGGCTGTGGGGAGTATACTTGCTCGCCGGAGGAGGGGACCAATTCTGAATCCATCTGCTAGACCCTGCTAGAGTCGTGCTAAAATTTTAAAAAATGAAAAATAGAAAATAAAAAATTATTTTTTAACAAGCTAAAAAAGGAAATTTTTTTGTCCTTCTAGGCCAAATATGGTACAGTACTGTCATCTACAGACAAAAAAAAGTTGTATGTTTTGCTTTTTTTGTTAATTCTTTTTTTTTTAATCCTTATTTCGTTTTTATATATTTACATATTTTGTTAAATATTTTTTTTTTAAAACCAATATATATATATATATATATATATATATATATATATATATATATATATTATTTGAAACATCTTTTTTTTAGTATTAAATTTTGGTGTTTGGGTTGAAAATAACCTTACGAGCTCAAATTAAGAAGACTAATAAATTGCATCACTATAAATCGAACCTAAAATCTTGTAGTTATTCAGCCAATGACTTAATTAACTTGGTTGCTCCACTCTTGCCTATATATACAATGTTTATCCTACTATTGAAATCAAATCCTTTATAATTACAAACTCATTACCATTTTATCCCTCTACTTTTAAACAATGAAATCAAAAATAAAGGAGAAAAAAATAAAAAAGTTAAAAAGGTCATTGTCCAATCAATATATATATATATATATATATATATATATATATATATATATATATATATATATTGCCATACATGTGTTGTTGGGTGTTGAGTATCGAATAGTTATGATGTGCAACCGTGTGCACCATGCATGATGCACACGGTTGTAAAACGATGTTGTTTTGACTAAAAACGCGTGTTCCATTAAAAAAAAAATCAGTTTCGATTCCCCTCAATAGCATTATGTTGTTCATTCATTGTGGATATTTAGTTCATTCATTGTGGATATTTAGTTCATTCATTCTGAATTTTTAGTTTTTCATTCACTGTGGATATTTAGTTCATTCATTATGGATATTTAGTTCATTCATTGTGGATATATAATTCAAATTATGCACACAAAAATGTTATTGCCTGGAATCGAATCTAATTTTTTTTTTTTTAAGTGGGACACGCATTTTTAGTTAAAACGATATCGTTTTTGCAACCGTGTGCATGGTGCACACGGTTGCACAGCATACTTTGCGTTGAGCATCACACCTATAAATACAGGAGCAAACTCTTGGAAAGTTGAAAGCCCGACAGAGAGCCCTTCTCTTTTGAACCCAAAACAAAAAGTTAGGATCTTGTTGGGAAATATCGGGTACTTTCTTTCTTGACCTTCATTTTCTGTGTTAGTTTAATTTCTCTTATGTATATGACCAAATTAAATCCCTTATCTTAAAACTTTTTTTTTTTTTTTGTAATTTTATTTTATGGAAATGCACTCACTCTTTTTTGTATATATGAAGATAACAATGTCGATGGTGGAGAAGGGATTGTTGCATAGTGAAAAGTTATATCAGGTGGTATTTAATTTTGATCTCTCTTTAACTTAATTGCTTGGAATTGCTCTTTACATTATTATATATATTCTCGTTTTTTAATTGTTTGTTTTATTCATAGTTTGTGATTGTTCATTATATTATTGATAGTATGTTCTGGAGACTAGCGTGTATCCACGTGAACCTGAACCCCTCAAAGAGTTAAGAGCCATGAATGCTGATCATCCAAGGTGAAACAAACTATAGATAAATCTTATGTTGTTTTAATAGAATGATGTGTTTTATCTCGACTAAAATCTTAACGTTTCTTTTGTTTCGACTACAGTGGTCTGATGGCTACTGCACCAGATGCAGCCCAATTGATATCTATGCTGTTGAATCTCCTTAATGCAAAAAGGACCATTGAAATTGGAGTCTTAACTGGATACTCATTGCTCCTCACAGCTCTCAACATTCCTGATGATGGCAAGGTTAGTTTCATCTAATTAACAAATTATTTTGCCCGTATAAATAGCTCAGTAGATTTCTGAGTGGTAGATTATTGTCAAAAACACGGGATCGAATCCTGACAGCCGCAGTGTGGAATTACACCCAATGTGGTGGGTTCCTTGTGAGCATCAGGCACTGGTCTTTCCAGTCACCATGATTTACTTATCCACTATATATCCTGTCGGGCCTGTGGGCAAAGGAATTTCAATTCGCCTTTTGTGGGTAATGTAATACTGCCGGCCTTAACTCTACTACATATATACATGCAGATTATAGCCATAGACCGTGACCGAGAAGCATACGAATATGGATTGCCAGTGATTAAAAGAGCTGGAGTTGATCACAAAATCACTTTTGTTGAGTCTGATGCCTTGACAGCTCTTGATCACCTCCTCGAAGATGTAAGAATTGGTCTTTTCGACCATAATAATAATAATAAACGTGTAGTCTCACTGTACTATCAGCTAGTAGTTTAATTACTTATATTGGGTTGTCATCAATTTGTATTGTTGCAGAGCAGTAACATGGAGAGTGTTGACTATGCTTTTGTGGATGCTGACAAAGTGAGTTACAAAGAGTACCATGAAAAGCTATTGCAGTTGATTAAGGTTGGTGGGATCATAGTGTACGATAATACCCTGTTGGGAGGATCTGTTGTGATGCCGGAGGAGTCTGTAACCGGCTGGATGAAACCAGCCCGGCAGAGCACAATTGAGTTTAATGCATTTTTGGCTTCTGATGATCGAGTTCACATCTCTCACGTCCCTGTAGGCGATGGGATTACGATTTGTAAGCGTCTCAAATGAGTGATGAATCTGTACTGTATGTTCATCTCCTCATCTATCTGTGTTCGTGGATTTCTTAGCTTCTTTGGATATTTTCTGTACTGGTAGAGTCACCAGTGTATGCTCAGACCATTAATATAATAATAATAATAAATTAAATAAATGGTTGTTGGTTAGTTTATTCATGGTTCTATAGAGAGTTAATTCCAGCAATGGTCCTCCGACTATGTTGATTTTCCAAAATTAGTCCTCGACTTTTAATTTGGACACTTTACATCCCTTGACTTTCAATTTCTTTCCAATTGAGGTCCTTTTGTCAGATTATGATATATTGGACTTTAAATGAAAGGGTAAAGTAGTCATTTTATCTGTCTAATATATAATTCTTCGTATTTTTCCCTTGTATGTGCGACTTCGGACATCAAATTCACTTAATTGCTTAATCCCTAAATCCACTCGAAGAACAAAATTCCATTAGCGATTAAGCAATTAAGTGAATCTGATGTCCGAAGCCGCGTATACAAGGAAGAAATACCAGATGAAATGACTAATTTACCCTTTCATTTAAAGTCTACTTTACCGTAATCTGACGAAAGGACCTCAATTGGAAAGAAATTGAAAGTCAAAGGATGTAAAGTGTCCAAATTAAAAGTCGAGGACTAATTTTGAAAAATCAATATAGTCGGAGGACCATTGCTGGAATTAACTCGTTCTATAGACAAAATTTTACTTCTAGTGCTGCGAAATCAATGGGATATGAGTACTTTATAAAAAAATTATCAAAACCTTGATGTAAACACTGTATTGAGATCCACATAAAAAAATTATCAAAACCCATCACATCAGCGAGTAAAATTGAGAGAGTAAAAGAGTACATATATTAGAACTCGTTGAAATTACTATTTGCAAGCGTCTCAAATGAATAGATCCAACAAAGTTATTCTCATCGAATACATATCTTTTCTTGAAAGGCAGATTATTGAATTAATCAAAGTTAGTTACTGATTTCTCAGCTCCGGAAACATTTTCAAGGGAAAAACAAAAATAAATTTGAAGTTCCACTTTCTGTCATTCTCATCCTAATTTCCATCTCTTGGATTTACATTTGGTCAAAAAAAACTTTTGGCTCAAATGGTCACTTTCAGACATAGTAACCGGTGAAGGTAAATCCCCTTCCAACAATCTCCCCGGCACAGAACCACGCAAAGCACTCGATGCCAAATAAAGCCGCAATTCCTGCATCCTCGACTTTCAACTCCGGCCTCATCTTCCACAAGTTCTTCACATAGTCAAGTTCCTTCCAAAATGCCTCGTACCGACCAGGGATACTGTAGATAGCGCAGAATGATAATTGTAACAATTATAATTAGCAAGTGTAGCATACTAGAATTAGGCTATAGTTTAAAAAGCGTGTAATTTCCAGCCATTCTATATATCTAGAGATGTCATCATATCCAATCAACAACAATAAATTACATTTTACATATCCAAAGGTCCACATATTGACATATGGCAGTGACCATTCCTGCCAATTATACAAGACTGACCAGGTCAAAAACAAGAACAATGAAAAGCTATAAATGCATAAAATATAAAATAAATGCCGTGTTGATTATTCAGATTTCAGAATAATCTTTCACCCAAACATTGCAGCTTACCTAAAAAGTCAGTCAACCCATCAAAATTTCCCAGAAATGACATAGGTGGAATAATCTAGCCAGTATGCCTTAGAACACTGCACTATGTATATATTATCCCTTCAACCTCAAATCCTCAAATTATATCTCATCAACCTAGTGTACTAAGGAGACCTTCAAGATGGCTAGTTATGGCGCCACACACAGACCAAGTGTTGCCCCCTCATCATCTCCTCAACCCAACGACCCATACGAAAAGTCGAGAAAAGATCAGCTCACCTTCCAGATTACAATCCCCTTTAGTATATCCCCTCCACCCCTGAATCAGCTGCAACTAGGATCATCCGAAACCTGGAAAAATTCAAATTATACTACTTCGAATTCATATGGCTTGTCTTGTTCATCGCACTTATTCCAAGGCGCAAGGTTTCCTTAATCATCCTAGCAGCTACTAAAGAGGGTGCAATCATATACCTACTTCTAATGCGTGCAGTACCAGCATCACTCGTGATGATTCATAAGATTCTTGATAAGAGGCTGATTCTTTCCCTGCTGGCTTTAGGCACAGGAATCGCACTCATAGCCACTCATTCAGGGCTTCATCTGGTCATCACTCTGGCTGCTACTATGCCTATCATCTTAGCTCATGCAGGCCTATGGTCTGGTTGGGCGGATACCTTAGAGAATAATAATGTTGATGAGTATACTCCCCTTCTTTAGTACACTACATTCATACTTTTTCTTCTTCGATTTGTTGCGTGGAATAAAGCCATATATGAGCAGTATTTTGATAAAAAGTTCATTCAGTATCAGTCGTGATCTCTGTCAGTAATTGATATAGGTTTTAAAATATTGATACAGCAAATAACTATTGAAATACAGATGAGATGGAAAAACAGACTTGCAAGATTACTACATTTACTAAGGGGGTGTTTGGCAAATAGCTATTAGCGGGTTTGACTAGCTGATAGCATTAGCTGATTGTAGAAAGATGTTTGGTAAATTAGCTGATAGTTGATTACATGCAAAATGACCATTTAAGGGTTAATTTATTTTTTCAAAAAGCCGATCGAAAAGGCTGCTTTGGAAAGCTTTTTGAATTTTATCGTTTTGGAGCAATAAGCTATTAAAAAAAAAAAACTGATTAACCAAACACTCATGTTGATTGTTTAATCAAGTCAAACAGCTAATAGTGATCAAACAAGCCAAAATTGGCTGATAAGCTAACTCTATTACCAATCATGCCTAAGTCATCCAAAACTTAAATACTAAGAAAATCTATCAACATACACCAATAAATGGGAAGCGGGAGCAGTAATATTAGTCAAAAACCATTCATATTGCACTCTGAGATCAATCAATACCACTACGACTAACCTGGCGAGACGGGTGTAAAATAGTTTCTTAGACAATTCCTCACACTTTCCCACAGTAGATGGCTCCACAATATACTGCTTGTTCTGCTCTAGTGTCTGTTTGTAGAGGGTACAACTATTCTTGGTGATAAGCTGCGTAAGTTGGCATGCCTTAGATGACAATTGCTGAAACTTGGACGCCATTAATTCCACTGAAAATGCATAAGTTAAAAAAAAATAAAAATCAATCATTAACGAAAAATCATGTCCATAGTTAAAAAAGATAACCATAACCAATACCCTTCTGACCATTCAAAAATTACAAGTAAACAATGCTAGTAAGCACCATACTACCATTAATTCTCACAACACCCCATCAAGAAAATCAGCGCCACAGATTAAGAGCAAGCTTTCAATCAGTTGCAGCATCCAATTCGCATATCAAAAGGAACGCAATCAATTAAATCAGAAACAGTAAGGCACCAATATATCAAGCGCTAGACCACTCCCACCATAAGCCTAAAGTTTTTTTTAAAAATCCCATATTTGCGAGATCTCAAATATTTCAAAACAACTAGGGAAGAAAGAAAAATCTATGGAAAAAAAAAAAAAAAAACAACCTGGGACGTCATTGAATTGAAACAAATTTATAGGAAGTGAAAATGGAGCTTCGATTTTACCTGGGTTTTAGTTAAACGAGGAAGCGAAAGACAGATGTGAGAGGTGGACGAGGTTTCGCTACTTCAACAGCAGTGGCTGCGCTCTTCGTTTACTGAGAAACAGATTTTGTGATAAAACAAAATTCAAAATTAAACAAAAACCAAAAGCGGTTATGGGCCTCCTAAATCTTAAACTGCGTAAATGCAGGCCCATATATGTGATCTGTAGAATTCAGTTATAAATGTAAGTAATAAATTCGAGTTTAATTTTACTGTATAAAATAATGTGCAATTTATCAATATGTTACACCCTTTTGACGTTTCATTGTGTTGGTTGTATTAACTTCTTGGATAGTAGCAATGAAATTACCAATAATAGGTTTTAATTAAAAATCTAATTTTCATTTGGATGATCTCATTCTCCTCTCACAAAAAATAAAAAATTTGGATGATCTCATGTTTTTAAAAATGAGAAGAATATGAACTTATAGTAAACTAATACATAAATAGTCAAGTAAAATTGAGGAATAATAAAATCTCATAGTTGTGTTTTAAAAAGTTGTTAACCAAATACTAACTATAATTTTTATTCTCATTTCTAGTATGTAAACCCATGAACCAAACACACCTTTAGATTGCACACAAGTATTCGGCCAATATTTGCTTCTTTAGCAATGTTTTGCATATCACAACATTACAAGACACAATCAAAGGAATACTCAAATGAATATAGAAACTATTTTCCTCATATCTAGAAATGGTCTCATTATTTACATGTAACAAATCCTACACGATTTGCAGAATCCATACTGCTAGTATAACTGCATAGAAGGAGAGTGTTCAACCAAACCACCTTTGGGTTCTAGTATGGCCACCAATCAGGTCCACCAGGTTTCTTTACAAGGATCTGATTATACTCTGGTCTTGAAGTCTGAGAAGTGAGAAAGAGAGTAACAGCAAAACAAGGAACGAATTGAGATTAATAATTTGCAGAATTATCAATGTAAGTAATCTAACACACAGAATGCTTATGCCTCCAATAGATATTAAGCTTGGTGCAATTTATGTATGATAACCAAAATTGTATTAAAATTATAATGACAAAGGGAACAGCATCAGCAAGCTATAGGGATTTGATTTTGATTGCTAAAAAAAAAATTGTGTGGCTGTTTTTTCCCCTGAAAGTTGAAGGGATTTGATTTCTTAGGCACTAGGCAGTAAGAGTTGAAATCTTATATTAATAGAAACAAGAAAAACAAAATATACACAAAGAAATATTTAATATTTGCAAGATTCAAAAATCCAAAATTGAGTCTTCGGGTTTTTTCTCCCATGGGATTATGTAATTCTGTAGAGTTCTGAAGCTATCTTACTTTTTCCTCAATATGCTCTCCTATTTCCTTCTAACACAAAACACCAAACCAAACGAGATAGGAGCTACATATCATATCTTAAATCCAAAACTAAAGGAGTATCCTTCGTAGATGAGGGCAGAAACTACTTGATTACTCATAAAAAAAATGAACTACCAGTACCACTTAACTAGTCACACCTAGCAGCAAATGATCACTACTCTTATCCAATTACAGTAAAGAAAATAGTCACAGTCTAGCAGCAAATGATCACTACTCTTATCCAATTACAACAAAGAAAATATGAAATTGGTGAAATAATCCACGAGCTACTGAGGAGCAAGTTCTAGAACTTGCTGGAGAATACCATTTTGGCATTGCTTGATTTACTCTGTTACTTTGTAATTTAATTTCTCAGCTTCATTTTACCAACTCAGTTCCCCGCCTCTTTACTCAATCAGAATCAAGCATAAGGAGAAGATATGTCCTAGTTGAATGGTTTAGCAATCTAAATGCAATTACTAAAATTTTGAACAGGTTGTGTCCCAAGTACCAAGCCCAGTTCTACTACTCTATTGATGCAGAAATCAGCAAAGAAAGCCACAGATTAATCTCCTAATCGTGATTTTGCCTTCCATCGTATCCTAAAGCCAGGCTCCCATATCAATTTCAACTATATAGTATTTGCAATAATGTTGAAACATATATTCCAGAAATGAATATCCATAGCATTTCCTCAACCTAGCTCCGACCTACTTTGCATGATAGGTTTTCATACAAGAGAGAGATTAGGTGAGATCCAAAAGGCAAAAGACAAATGAAAGGAGTTACAGTTTCAGTTGAACGAACTTTGACATGTTTCCTAGTGACTGGGTCCCCACATTAACCTTAGCACAAGTAATTACGTTTGATGGTAGATTTGCAAATTATCCAGAGCCAGAGGTGGGCTCAAAATTCTACAAAGCAGAACTTCAGACTCTCCTATTGTTGAAAGTAGGATTCAGTAATTAAGAAGTGTGAAAGAACATTGAAATGAAAATGCCGGGCACATATCTAGTCTGGTTTTCTCAGTAATTGGCTACATAATTTTCAATTGAAGAGCAGTTATAGGCAAATTGACAAAAGAGTTAAAAGAAGGGTTTGATGTTGATGAATAACTAGGTGCTCAGCATAACTGAATTTCTGGGAAAATGATCATGAAAAGGACTAATCCCTCCAAATTTCAAGATGTAATAGTAATAGTTCATTTCTAGGCTTCTAGCATGATGTTTGGAGTGGAGAACAGAATTCATAGATCATGACATCACTGTTCTTTTGTAATAGACAATGGCACCATGCTACAACACAGTCAAGCATGAATGGTTCTGGAAGCCTTTTCAAGGTCAGAAGATTGAGAACCGATACATAAATGCCTTCTGAATGATATCATTTTATAACAACAAATTCCTTTGTGCTGTCGCCATGTTTAACACTTTAACAAACATGCTATAGATTCGTCTCATCACAGTTCACATCCTAATCATCAATTATTGCAATTTAGAAGAATAAGATAATCTAATCTTCACAGCACAAATTCAAACCCTAAACTACAGTTATTACAACAGGTTAGGATATCAATCAAGCTCACAAGTTCAGAATACTGCTTAGATTTCAAAATTTACACAATCAATGCTAATGGAAGTACGAACACGGCTCATGCATCAAGTATTCCAAAATATAATGGAAATAAGATCTCACCAGATCCTTGAATATTATATAGCTGATGACGAAGAAGAGGACGAAAAGGATCTCGAACTCGGCGAAACGGACGAATGCAAATACTTTGTCCACCGCCCGAGTCAAGAGCGAGGCCGACTTGTCCCTTCTTCCACCCCTCACAGCACGCCTCGCCATCGATTCGTTTAGTTGGGTTACGGGTTACCTTTCCAAATTTCCAACGGAGCCTTTAAACGTTGGAACAGTAAACAATGAGCTTCAATAATGCCTTCTACCATATAGTAATATTTAGACACTCGGTCCATATATCAGTTTAACGTGTGTTGCCGGCATTCGACAACTCAACTATCACAAAAATGAAAGAAAAATATTACATGTAATTCCACTTCAATTTACTTCCATAAATCTTTGATGTAAACACTTTTCTTTTAGATCAATATGATAAAAATATCATATCCTTATTTGCCACATTATAAAATAAAAGTGAATAGTAGAATTTGAAAAAACATATAATATAACTTAAAATGAAATTTATAAGATCAATGATTGAGTTTCATCAATAACAGCTTAAGAACAACCTCTCAAATAACAAAGTTTTTTTTTTTTTTTTTTTTTTTTTTTTTTTTGTGAACAATGCCCAAAAGTGTAATCAATTGAGTCGTGATATATATATATATATATATATATATATATATATATATATATATATATATATATATAACTTTTACCAATATTTTAATTTTTAAAGATACAAAAAAGTTAAATTCTGATGATGCTAGGTGATCTGCGAATTGTGCCGCTCATTCTGTTGCTAGGGAGGCCTTTTCTGAGTCAGGTTGCGGGGAGTGGTTTGATATTCCCCCATCTTTTCTTGTAAACATTCTAGCTCGTGATTTAATGAATTAATCTTATTCTTTCAAAAAAAAAAAGTTTTTTTTTTTTTAAAGCTATTTAGTCATCAATTTTGATAATATTTTTTTTTATATAGTCATTCTTATAAATATTTTTAGCACATTTTCACATTAATGTAGGTTTGGTTGACATGAATTTCAATTCTTTTGCAATGAAATTCATCATCCATGCCAATTACATTTTTTATTGGAAGCAATTGCAATTCCCTCAAACCATTGAATTACAATTTAGGATGCGAGGGAACAATAAAGAAATTTACAAATTTGTCCTTTATTATTATTATTATTATTATTATTATTATTATTATTATTATTATTATCATTATTATTATTATTATTATTATTATTATTATTACACGAGGATTTTAATCTTGATATCACTTTTTTCTTTTTTATTTCCAAAATTCTATTACTCCGATCTCTACCAAACAATGTAATTTGAATTCATACTTTATTCTAACAGAATTACAATTCTTTTCTTTTTTAATTCCCTCATCTCAACCAAACTCCCAAATCCCAATAAAAGTTAAAAATGAAAGCATTGAAAAAAAAAATTACTGAGTTAATACCCAATTTGGTCACTTGACTATTAGGATTTCACAACTTTGGTCATCAACTTCCAAACTTGCTCAATTTCATTCCTAACTATGCAATTGTTAACTAAAATGGTCCTAATCAGGACTATTTTGATTTGGACCAAGGACTATTATAGGTAAAAATTGCATAGTTAAGAATTAAATTAAGTAAGTTTGGAAGTTGATGATCAAAATTGTAAAATCCTAATAGTTGATGAACTAAATCGGGTATTAACTCAAAAATTACACATGCACATTTTGGAACATATATTTTGCAGAGAATTACTACATTCATTATATAATTTCGAGTATATTTTCATGGATGGTTGCCTGGAATTTGAGCTTTTTGTATGGCTAAACAAATGGCACTACATGTCAATTCTTGACAATTATACAAGACTGACCAGGCCTTAACACATTAATAAGAACGAATTCTATAAATGCGGTGTTGATTATTCAGATTTCAGAATAATGTATGACTAATACTTTAATTTCTGTCATCTACCATGTCATGAGGAAGATAGCTCAACACCTTATGCTCAATTGATATCTCTGTAGCTCTCCTTGAGGAAAGGTTACAAGTTTAAATCTCTATGATGGAGTAGCGACTCTTTGTGTTACAACATATGAAGAAAGTATATTAAATAGATACTACTTTATAATAGAGTTGATAGTACTATAGAAAAATTTATTCCATTAGTCAACATGTATATGTATCTGGTTAATAAATGTACATTTTAAAAAAGAGGTTCTTATCGTGAAAAAGATGTACTTCGATTTATCAATATTTGAAATGTTTGTTGAACCAAATAATTTCCAACATCCCAATTATTATCATCAGAATATTCATGGTCACTAGACATTGAATTGGGAGAGATGGAGAGGAAGTGCAATTTAGACAAATATATATATATATATATATATATATTACAAATCAGAGATCAGAGTAGGATTATAGAAAAAAAAAATGAGAGAGTATAGTTTGAAGGATATATATACTAATTAAAAAAAATTAAATACACACTCAACGGTCAATATTTTGACCATTGAGTGCATATGGCATATGAAATTAATTTCATTTCAATAGCAGTTGAGACTAAATTTACATTTTTTTTTATATTAAATGAAGCATCATTCTAATAGAGTTAGTAACATTCATTAAAAAAAAAAAAAATGAAGCAGCATGGTAAAAGTCGGGTTGTCCCCCGCCATGTTCGCATCTGTGTGGCGCGTGCCAATCCACTTTTCTTCTAAGAAGACAGTTTTCTCCGAAGAATAAGCTCCTCCCTCCTCCTTTGTTTTCTTCTCCTTTCTTCCTCTAGAGAGATAGTTTTCTCCAAAAAAACTGCAATAGACTGAGAGTACAATTCAAGTTCATATTAAACTATTAATAGGTCGTTCAAAAGCCTAAAGGCCGGCAAATTATCATGTGGACCATGGTCCACATAGTGCTGTGTTAACCCTAAAAAGGTACATTATTTGTGTACTTAATGTACATTATACAAAATAATGTACTTTCAGTACTACTCAAATAATATACTTCTATAAATATAATGTACATTTTTAATATATTAAAAGTACATTATTTGTATACTGAATGTATATTATTTGGTAGTATACAAAATAATGTACTTTATGTACACAAATAATGTACTTTTTATTTATGTTCCACATAGTTGTGTGGACCATGGTCCACCCAATAATGCTCCAAGCCTAAAAGGATCCCCTTCCACACCCTCTCTCCCACTCTCGGCAAATTATTGTGTGGACCACGGTCCAAAATGACGTCATTTTTATGTTTAAAAAAATTTTCTTGTTCTGTCCGCTTGTTAGAATAATGAACATTCTGGACTAAAATAATACAGTATATTATATGAATTAGAATAATGTACTTTGTGTTAAAATAATGCACTTTATGTGTGTTAGAATAATGAAATTTTTTAGGTAAGATAATGTATTTTATGAGTTAAAATAATGTACTTTATGTGTTGGAATAATATATAATGTACTTTATGTATTTTTGGATCGTAATTCAATACACAATTGTGCGGTCATGCAATAATGATTGCCCACTCTCATACTTCTCTCCCATAGTTAGAACTTAGAACTATATTTTCATGGTTAGTTGTGCACTGTAAACCTAGAGGCTAGAGTGGTAGAGCTTTGGTTGAGTTGGTTCCTTATTAAGTAACCTTGGTTTCCCATCTTTACTCTGTATATATCAACACTAATACTCCGGGTCTATTACTCAGTTATAGTTTGAAATCGAACATTAATGGGGTGTTTTGTTGGATGTATAGTAGTTGAAATTATTTTCCTTCATTATTTCATGCATGGCAAGACAAATTGCAGCGTTTGTTTAGAGAGAATTACAATTCCATCTTTTTAATTTGTTGAATTGCAATTCATCGGTACTCTCCCCCTCTACGAATTGCAATTCAATGGTTGTAACCTGTAGGGAAGCGAAACCTTCGAGTACGCGGGCTTTGCTGGAAACTGGAATAATCTCATGATGAACTTAGTTATATACGAACATCTAAGCTTTTGATCATATGGAACGGGGAGAGGTTTGAGCCTTTTAGTCCGGAGCAGGGCATCAGGCAGGGTGATGCGATGTCATCGGCGATATTTGTTCTCTGCATGGAACGGCTGAGTCAACTAATAGTCTCGAAAGTCAATAACAATAGATGGAAAGGGATTAAGCTTGTCCCCACATGACCTATTTTAACACATCTTTGTTTTGTAGATGACATGGTGCTGTTTTCAGAGGCCTCGATTAATCAAGTAGAGGTGATTTAGGAGTGTCTCGACCGTTTCTGCGCGGCATCAGGTCAGAAGATAAGCTTGAACAAGTCACAGGTGTTGTTCTCTAAGAACACGGACCCGAACCTTGCTGGAGCTATTGCAAGGAAGTTGAATATCGAAAACACAAGGGACCTTAGGAAATACCTTGGTGTACCATCCTTGCATGGACGGGTCACATGCACCACCTACTCCAACCTTTTAGAAAGGATGGCTGGACACCTGGAGGGTTGGAAGTCTAAATCCTTATCATTAGCGAGAAGGGTCGTGCTAGCAAAATCCGTACTTAACGCAATTCCTGTTTACACCCTGCAGACAGCAGCCCTTCCAAAAGGGATATGTTTGGAAATAGAGAAGCGCACTCGGAGATTCATATGGGGTGGCAGTGACGCGGGTAACAAACTGAGTTTAGCAAATTGGAACCTGGTTACGACGGCGAAAGATGAGGGCGGCCTATGAATTAAGAGACTACACGAGTTGAACTCGGCCTATATGGTCAAGCTGGGGGGTGGCGCCTACGGTAGGAGGCAAACAATCTATGGGCTGAAGTGCTCACCTCGAAATACAATAGAGGGGGTGACGCTGCTGCAAACACGAGGGGGGCACAAAGAATGTCCAACGTATGGCGTGTCATTACTGCGGCACAGGAGACTCTGGAAAAGGGTATTCGCAAGGTAGTTCATAATGGCAAAAGCACTAGATTTTGGATGAAAAAATGGATTATGGCGGAGCCGTTATGTGGACAACTGCGCACCCCACTTAGCCTCCCTAAGCTTTATGCCACTGTCGATGAGTATTTGGACACTAACCGTGGTTGGAAATGGGAAAACCTGGAACATTTGCTCCAGGCAGCGACGAAAGACATGCTAGCTGGTTTCATGTTGGCAGAAGAACACATGGAGGACGGCATAGGCTGGGGTCCGTCACACTGGGAATTTCTCGATCAAAATTGCGTACGATTTGCATGTTCCTCTGGCTGATCAAGCACGGAAAAGTCCTCACTAACGCTGAGAGGGGTAAACGCAATTTAACATCTAATGTGTTTTGTTTCCAATGTGCAGGTCAGGTAGAGGACTTGAATCACCTCTTCAGGTTTTGCCAGGCAGCAACAAGAATTTGGGATGTCTCCCTACAATGGCGTACAACAGCGACACTAAGGGGCTTGAATTAGAAGGAATGGTTGAAGATGAACCTAGAAGGGGACGCATGGTGTGGATTTGGCGAAGACTGGTCGGAACGGTTTAGCATCAGACTTTAGTGGTTGTGGCGATGGAGAAACGACGAGGTCTTTAACTCCAAGTCGGTGCGGATCGGGCAGAAGCTAAAATGGCTGACTATTTACGACACGGAGGTTCGAGCAGCTTTTGCAAAGAAGTGGAATCCAGCAACGGGACACATGCCGCATGTAACACCCTACTTTTCTTAAATCTAAAACTCAAATACTTAACTCAAAACAAGATAAATAAATGAGATTAGATCACTTAAACCAACAAAACGGGTGTCACTGCCACAATCACCACACACGATGACTGCACAGGCTAAAGAAAGTTAACTACTAGAGTCGAGCTCATCAAAACAACACTAACTTGGGGAACAAACCCCGGTGTCCGAGCACCAACAAAAGATTAGTCTAAAGGTAACAAACATCAGTTTATCAACAGTAGAAACCAATGTTGCAAAAAACGTTAGGCGCCCCCTAGGTGCCGATTTTTTAAAAAAAATAAAAAAAATTAAACTAAAAATTATAAAATTCACTAATAAAACATAAGGTTCCTCTAATTTTTTCTTACAAATTATTTACGTAAGTGGTTGTAAAATCATTCAAAATATTGTTGAAACCATCTAAATACATAAAAAAAAAAAATAAAATTAAGAGCAAAAGAAGCATTGACTTTACAATGGATCGCGCCGCCTGTGCCATAGCTATGGACTATGCCCAACATAATCATCACCTATAAAAGAATTTTAATCATCAGCTTTATATTTGACCATCTGTAAAAAGAAATTTAAATATTAGTAAAAAGTTTTAAATATTAATTTAAAAGTTTCATAAAATATAAATTTAATTATTAAAACACTATCATCATTGGTATGTTTTCTATGGCTTAGATTAGATCTCCTCCCTATAAAAGGATAGTTGTTTGCTTCACAAATACCTTCTTGTTGCATATATTCAAAACAATTTTTAAAACCTATAAATGATGTTAAATGATGTATCCCGAATTGGTCAACCTTCGCCCTCGAATTATTATCATATTCTTCTGCAAATATTTTGGGCACCCAATCTATCAACTCTTGGCTATACAATGAAATATGCGTGATGCAACTATGCCCAACATAATCATCAACTCTTAAAGAATTTTAATTTCCCTCTTGTAAGCTCAGAGTCCACAATTGTTGGTGTCGTGGAATATCTTATGCAATTGTGTGCTCTGATACCACGAAATACCTTATGCAATTATGGGCTCTGATACCATGGAATACCGTATATAATTATGAGCATTAATGTTAGTAATTCATTTTCCAAAAAAATAGAGTTGATCATCCTGTGAGATACCTAACTATTCACGGTAATTTTGATTCAATCGCAGAGTTAGTATCTAATCTAGATAATCATTAAAATTTTCTTATCAAAAGATCAAAACCTATTGGGTTACCAGACACTGTGCGGCATATGAAGAGGCTAAGGCATTTGCATATATATCGACATGCTATATTTATTCCCAGTTCAGATTATCGTAGACAGAAGTCATTGATGTTGTCTATTGAATCAAATTTACGAACCATTTCTGCACTACCTCTTGTTTATGTTTTGGGCAATACTTGGACAAAAAAAGAGCACATGCAAAAGTGGTTAGCCAATGTTCGAAACTTGAAATTTGTAATTGCTGATTTTTCCAGTACTTCAAAGAAGTGCAAAGTCTACTAATCACATGTGCGTTCTCTGATATTTGGTTTTGAATACGAGTTAATTATGAACTGTGATGTCACATGGATCACAAACAACTTTAGGTTGCTCAGAGTATTGAATTTTGGGAGCATTAATGTTGGCAATTAATTTACTCGAGAAATAGAGTTGATAATTCTGTTGAGATACCTAGCCATTCATAGTAATCTTGATCCCATCCCAATGAAACACATAAACAAGAGGAAATTAATTGCCACCATAATCATCAACTCTAAAAGAATTTTAATTTTACCTCTTGTGGGCTCAGAATCCACAATTGTTGGTGTTATTGAATACCTTATGCAATTGTGTGCTCTGATACCACGAAATACCTTATGTAATTGTGGGCTCTGATACCACGGAATACCTTATGCAATTGGAAGCATTAATGTTGGCAATATGTATATATATACCACTCAGTCACTGATATTGAAAGCAGAGTTTTTTGTTTGGATTTGTCGTGTGTGAATATTTACCCTATTTGTAAAAAAAAATTATTAAAATTATAACTATAATATTTTAATTAATTTAAAAATAATAATCTAAATATACAAAAAATGAAAGATGCTACAAAACATACCCGAACATTTTCGACCCCTACAAAAGCCATACCCGGAAAAAAAAATTAGGGGTAATTTAAATGCAAGTTTATATTGTTTTATTAAAGAAAGAAATCACAACACCAATGCCATTTTATAGTGAAGCAAGTAAGTATCAGATAATATTCTTCAAGAAAAAAATTAAAAAATCTTAAAATAAATGAAAAATCTATACAAACTAAGATAAATCAATTTTAGCATAATATTATTATCAATTTTTTCATTAATGAAGAACTCAAGAAATAAGTAAATATTCGCAAGGCTGCAACTTATAACTCTAGATGAATCAAAATCAATAAAGCTTGCCAAAAAAACACCATAAAGAAAATGAACATTCAAAACAAAATTACTATCACAGAAGCAAAATTGAAATACACCCTTGAACATAAACACAATTAAGGATTAATCTATGTAGATTGATAAACATATAACTATGTATCTAAACAAGTATCTGCCAAAAGAATATGACGTTAAGGGAATCCATATAGTATAAATGGTAGTTTAACTGTAATTCTCGAGAAAATATGCGATTTCAAAAAAAAATTTATCCAAAACGGACAACCGAGTCAAAAGTTATGTCTTCCCGAACTTTTCACACTTTACCATGCAAAAAAAAAAAAAAAAAAAAAAAAAAAACGCCGGTTCAGCCGGCTAGCCGGCCGCGGAGGAGGCCGATTCCAGCCTTCCTCGCGGCGGCCGGCGGGCGCCTAGTGCCTAGGCGTGATTTTTGCAACCATGGTAGAAACTAATCTAGCCTCTACAACCTCAAACTACGCACTAGTCTATCTCGTGCGCTCTCAAACACTGGGCCCACCTGAAAGAGGTTATAAAAACAGTAGGAAAATAAACCCGTTAGCAAATTAATGCTAAGTACTATAGATATAAATTTGAAAAACATTTGGCAAGCACACGTAATCTCAAGTACTTTGCAACACTTAAACAACAATCTCAAATCATGCTCATAAATAACTCTATATGCTTGCAACCTATTCATCACATAAACATGCTTTCTCAAGTACTCAACTTAAACACAACTCTCATGTTTTAAACAGATATTTCTAATCATAGCTCATCATGCAATTCTTATGCTCAAACTGATAGGTTAAGAGATACTTAAACTTCACCAAGCAAACTCATGTTATCATGCCAACTAATAAGCAACAACAAAAGTTATACTTCTCATCATACTCTAAGTGCAAAACATGCAAGTCATACAACAGAAAATGCCATGATCAGTGGCGGAGGCATGTGTATTCTATAGGGGGCCTTGGCCCCCCTCCCCCAATTTTTTTTTAATATTATATATGTGTTAATTTTTTTAAAAATATTATATAGAATTTTAAAATTTTGTTGTTATTTTAAAATATTTGCCCCCCGAGTTAAATTAATCTTACAGGCTAAGTTATAAACTTGTATCTTCTTAACTTTTCCAGTTTCTCTTTCAAGAACCATATATATATGCAGCATATATGGTATAACAAGATAATTTGTAGATTTGTGGTTATGTGATAAATTTTGTATTTACTTTTTTTTTTTTTAATTACAAGGGAAGGGGACATCCAAACTACTAATCGCCTCCACTAAGGCTTGAACTTATCACCTCCCACTTAAGGAAGTAGCCGGATATCATTGGACCACAAGGTCCTTGGAATTTTGTATTTAATTTAAAATGCATAATAATGTAAAAATGAGTTAATTCCAGCAAAGGTCCTCCGACTATAGTGATTTTCTAGATTTAGTCCCTGTCTTTTAATTTAGACAAATTTAACACTTGACTATCAAAATCTTTCCACCATTGGTCCTTCCGTCATCTCAGCATTATTTAGATGTTAATTTTATGGGTAAAATTGTCTGTTTATTACTTGGATTGTCTTCTTCCTCACCATACAAGCCAGAACAACATGATAGCCGTGGACGTTGCTACTCCTCAACTCCAGTCGAAGACGCGACTTGGAGTCGCCGGCAGGTGGCAGCAAGGCGAGGCAGCGACGACGTAGCTGGTTTTCCGGCGGAATTGGCGTCGGTGACTGCTGTATTATGGGAACCGAAGATGAAAGAATAGTCTCCTGGCGAGGTTAGGATTTCTTTTTGGGTTTTCTTTAATTTTGAACATTTCTGGTTGATTAACGAAAATCCTGTGCTTTGATGATCATGTTTAAGGGTACAGTTGACATCCTTCAAAAGTATCCTGTCCCAGATTGCGACATATGGTTCATCAAGTTTGCATGCGATTTCCAATTCAAAGCAGCAATTATAAGTAAAATGAAAACATTCTTTTTCAATTTGGCGTTACCATTCATCTCTGCCTGCAATTGGTTAATGAATCATTTCGCCAAAGTAAACTTTCTGTTATCGAGTTTCTCCTTAAATACATGTGCGAATCTTTTCCTTTGATTTTCAATCTACTAGGGAATAGGGAAGGGAAGATTTACCTTTGGGATATGCAAACCAGCCCGCCTGTTCTAATTGCGATGTTTGTCTGCTCTACCCCTATCTATTACTTGCAAAACCTGTGCTATATGCTTCTCGTTTTATATCTCAGTTGGGAAGCAGCGCCGTTCACCACCATTTTCCGAGACCCAGACCTCATCCCTCTGCCTTCTCTCTCAGCCAAACCATTGTTGTCGTCGACGCCAATTCCGCCGGAAAACCAGCTACGCCGTCACTGCCTCGCCTTGCTGCCACCCGCCGTTCGCCGCCCACGACTCCAAGTCGAGTCGTCGACTAGAGTTTGAGGAGTAGCAACGTCGACTGCTATCATGTTGTTTTGGCTTGTATGGTGAGGAAGAAGACAATCCAAGTAATGAAAGACAATTTTACCCCTAAAATTAACATCTAAATAACGCTGAGATGACGGAAGGACCAATGGTGGAAAGATTTTGATAGTCAAGTGTCAAATTGTCCAAATTAAAAGACAATGACTAAATCTGGAAAATCACTATAGTCGGGGAACTTCGCTGGAATTAACTCTGTAACAATTGTGTAGTATATGTATTTGAGAAAACAATTGCAATTATGTTATGTTGTGAAGAGGGGTTTTCAAGAAATAATCAATAGTCTTTTAAAACATGCATGGATGTTTTCATTCTTTCAACTGTACAAAGCAATGTGCATCGAAAACATATTGCAAAATAATTTAATATAGATTTAATTATAAATGATTTATTTTAAACTTTATTAAATTTGTAATGCAATAATTATTTTGAAATATGTTAACTGGATATCAATATATTTGATTTAGTACCTCGACCGTAGTTGGCCCCCCGCACTATTAAGTTCTGGCTCCGCCCCTGGCCATGATGCTATAAGCGCGCGCGCACACACACACACACACACACACACACACACACACACACACACACACACACACACACACACACACACACATATATATATATATATATATATATATATATATATATATATATATATATATATATACTCTCGATATTATGTAAAAAGAAATACTTTTTCTGTGGAGATTTCTGTTGAGTCACATTGACTCGCTTTTCTCTTCTTTCACTTGAGTCTCTTGACTCGCTTTTCTCTTCTTTACTTTCTTGCTTTCTTTCTATACTCGTGGACGAGGTAGGGACTTCACGAATTGTGAACGAACCTATCCGGGCTCGACATCTAGCCGGTCTAATACTCATCTTTCCACAGAACCACTCTCTTGGTTCTTATCTCAATCTCTGTGGAATCAGGTATCGTACTTGTCAGTGTGCACATCCCCTAACCAGGATTCTATGCCTGGCGGATAGTATCGAACCTAGTAACCCGGGAATATCGACCAAGTTACTTCATAAAATCTGTCGGTTCTCATTGACCGTTTCTTTCCTTTCTCAAACTTTCTTTCTTTCTCTTTTCTTCCGAAAGGACATAGTCCTAACGGGCCTCCGAAAACTCTATTTTCTCACAATAGATAACATATAGATATATCTCATGCAACAACTCTAACTTATGCAAGCTTATGCACATAATTCTCAACAACTTCTCTTTCTCACAATTTGAAAATCAAATATCATGCAATCTTCTCAATGCAAATAGATAGTGATTTTCCAAAATAGATATAGGTTTTTGAAATAGATTTTAGGCTTTACTTAGAGCCAAAATACACTTTGCTCAATGAAATAAGCTAACATGCTCTTTATTGTGAAAATGCTCTAAATCTCATTCACTGTGAAACAAGGAAATATGCACTGCTTTATACTAAAATCTCAACATTTAGAAAATCTTCTCAATGAATACTTAACAAGTATTGATCATGCTTCTCAACTCAAAACATACTCAGATGCTAGCAATTTCATTTACTGTGAAATAGGGAATTATGCATTGTTCATGCCAACTTCTCCATAACTTAACAAATCTTCTCAATAAATTCTAACAAGTATCTCGGCATGCTTCTCAATCAAATATCAATACTCAAATGCTACAAATTCATTTACTGATGAAGTTCACAGACAACAACAACAAAGTATTCATCTTTAACATTTCTAACTGTAAATCATGCTTTCTAACTCCAAATCCAACGAAACTAACTTCTACTAGTGCGTCGTAACGAGCCCTAGTGTCTGAGCCTCAAGGGCCCACGAGTCCCGGTCCGAACAACGCGTAGCGTAGCCACAGAACGGACCTGACCAACGGACCATGCCTAGGTCCATTGGGGCTTCTGGTGCACCAAACCCCATCTTCTTCACCTGTAGAATAAACCAGATGAAATCCAACACTTCCAAACCTCAATAAATCAATCATAGATCATCAAGAACACACAAATAGCTCAATAACAAACATTATCTAACATTTCTAAACATCTATTTCTCATTTCTAGCATTTAACAGAGTCAAAATCTAGTTTGGGAGTCCATGGTTTATACCTTAGCTTCTTCTTCTTCTTGTGTGGATCCATTCTTCATCTATATTCAACTACTACCTCCTTCACCACCTATACACCTCAAACAAACAACACAACAACACTTAAGGAAAGAAACTCATAGATTTGAAGATAAAGAATGGATGATCTTAAGGAAGAAGATGAAATGGATGGATGAGATGAAGGCTTGGAAATCTTACTGTGTTTTCTCTTATTCTTGGCAGACTAGAGATTGGGAGAGGCAAAGAATGGGATCAGGAGATTTCAATGGAATAGTGAAGCTTTTATAGGGTCCAAAACCCTAGGTAGGAAACAAATGATTGATTGAGGGTGAAAGTGTAAATTGGCCTGCTTCAAATGATCAGACAAAGTGTTTGGCTGGTAGAATAACAAGGTTCACCTTGTATCATGGACCAAAGTCTTAAAAGTGATTTTGGGATAACTTTGAGTCAAAAATAGATTTTATGAAAACAATTTCTAGTTTTTTTTTTTTTTTTTGTTTTTTTTTTTTTGAAAATAGTTTATAGTTAAAACACTTAGTTTAGGTTTCACAGGTTCCTTTCTGGTTTCACTTATATTGACTTTTTGGATCAAAACTTGGTACATAAATGTACCTCAAACTTAGGATTTTCGAAATAGGATAACTCTTGGTGTTGAATTTATTTAAAAACTCGGTTAAAAATATTTAATTCATACTCTGTTTTCGAAATAAAACTTTTGGAAGAGTGAAAATAGCTATTTTGAAATTTTATAAAATAGAATTTAGAAAAATTATTTTTGGGTTATCACCCCGCATGTCGTATCTCGAGTAGGATGGTGTAAGCCTCCTAGTGATTGGCATAACCTGAATGTTGATGGCTGTTGGAAAGGGGACGGAGTAGCTGGTTGTGGGGGGTTTACTCAGGGACTTGCAAGGAGGATGGTGCCAGGGGCTTCACTCATAACATAGGCGCTGTTTGTAGAAGAAGCGGAGGCTTGAGGAGTTCTGCTTGGCATCAATATAGCGAAGAAGTGTGGTTTCACAAAGATAGTTGTTGAGTGTGACTCAAAGAAAGTTGTGGGAAGATTGGGTGCAGCATGTAAGCACATAATCCACGTTGTAAACAATAAATACGTGGCTAAGGAAAAGAGTTAGGATCACCAACCTCCAGCCATAGCTTTGATTCTTGATCACCAGGGACTCGCTGCAGAAGTTCCTCGGGCTGCTGTAGAATCTGCGTAAGTTTCAGTTATGTTTCTCTCACTTCTCTCGGTGACTCTAGATAGGTGTATGATACGTCAACCGAGCAGTGAGAGGACTTAGGGGTCTAAATAACCTACATCCCATCAATGTAGGTAACCAATTACCTAATGCTGACTAAGTTCTAATACTTAGTCAGCCTATTGATTTGCACCACTTAAATTACTATTGTTATTATATAATAATAGACTTAATAATAATAATAACTATATAGGGAAAACGTTACATTCTCCCACTTGGTGCAAATGTGGAACTCAAAAACAGGATTTACACCAACCATAATGATATGTCCTCCTTAGCGCAAGTAATATCCATTATGATCAAATGCAAATTGCCTTTGAGTACTTTAGGTAATCAAACTTTAATGAAACAAACCATATGTTCATTTCAAGTCCACTGAAGTATGTTTCCTTATTGAGATAAACTGAATTGTGTACACACCCAAAGAAAACATCTGAAGTATCTGAAAAACTGAAGTGCAAAAGAATTTCATTATTCAACTGAATGTATATACAAATTACAAAGAGGACGAAAGTCCTATTTCCTTAATCAGATCCTTAAATTTAAATGGAGGCATGCCTTTAGTAAAGGGATCTGCTAGCATCAACTCAGTATTAATGTGTTCAATGAATACAACTTTATTCTTGACACGCTCCCTAATGGCTAAGAACTTGATGTCGATGTGTTTACTTCGACTCCCACATTTTTCGTTCTTAGCTAGGAAGACTGCAGCTAAGTTGTCACAATAAACTTTAAGTGGCTTAGATATAGAATCCACAATTCTGAGTCCAGAGATGAAATTCTTGAGCCACACACCTTGCGAAGTAGCCTCGAAACAGGACACGAACTCGGCTTCCATGGTAGAAGTAGTTATTAAGGATTGTTTAACACTTCTCCATGAAATAGCCCCACCGGCCAATATGAAGACGTACCCGGAAGTTGACCTCCGAGAATCAACACAGCCAGCGAAGTCCGCATCAGAATAACCAACAACATCCAGGATGTCCGTCTGCCTAAAACCCAGCTTGAAATCTATAGTACCTTTGAGATACCTTAGAACTCTCTTCACAGCTCCCCAGTGATCCATGCCCGGATTATGCAAGTACCGCCCCAACATACCGACGGCAAAGGCAATGTCAGGCCTTGTACAAACTTGAATATAGCCAAGACATCCAACCGCTTCAGCATATGGAATATCTTTCATACGCTCCTTTTCCAAGTTATTCTTAGGACATTGGTCCAAACTAAACTTATCCCCTTTTGCGATGGGAGCAACATTCGGTGAACAATTTTGCATCCGAAATCTCTCCAAAACTTTGTTAATATAGGTTTCCTGCGATAGACCCAGTATACCCCGGGACCT